TCTATACCCTCTTGAAGATCATTTTGATGATTTTGTCCTCCATATATTTCTTCTTTGACATGGACATGTTCCTTTCTTTCTTTTTACGAAATACGCTTCAGTATTGTCCTCAGCCATATATTATACCGCCGTTCACCTTCCTTGGAGAAGATAACAAGAGAACGACGCTTTTCTTGATGTTTATAGATAAAACATAGACGAAATAAAATATTGCTGTTGATCGCATCCACTTCCTTGTTTACAAATTCAGCTTTCATAAATTGTCGAGTTAGTGGAGGATCGTGGCTGTAAAATGCCTGATTTGTGCCACTACATCAATAGTTTTATGAAGACTCCAAGCAAGTTTCCACATGTCACCAGAAGCAGTATTAGCTGAATCCAAATGAAGCTTTTGTAGCACGAAGAGAGGGAGCGAATAGTTATCGTAGTTCGACCATGATGGACACCTAGTGGTTTATATTAAGTATCCATTAAATTTTTCAAACTTGTCAGTGTATCTGCTAGATTTATTACAATGCTTTGTCAGTAGCATCTAGTTTGAAGAGCAAATAAAGCCATCACGTTGATGTTTCTGCATCAAGAATTGGACACGTTGTCATTGCAACTATATGCCGTAGCAGTGCCAAGTCCTCACGTTATCATTGACAGGGTGTGTTCAATGTCGGGTCATTTGTATGGTGTTCATTTTGTTCCCAAAATACTGTCCTTTTGTTTCACCAACACATATTAAATTACACAGAGCACACTCAATAACATGAATAATGTTGGTAGATGTTTTATGTTTATGTACAATATCACAATAAGACTGAAGCCCATAGTTAATAAGGATGTGGTTAATAGTTTTGACAATAGTTGAATCGATAGACAAGCCAGCAATAAAACAAAACAGGTCACAATGACCTAGCAAAGTCGTTTCATTTACGAAATACATTTCAGCAATTCATAACAAGAGAACGAAGTTGTTCTTTCAGTTTAAAATGGTGTATTTTATGTACAGAGTGGAAAATCAAATGTTCTTAATGAAGAAATGTGTTCTGGAAGAACATGTTGAGGATTTAGTGAAAACCTCTTTGGAGTTCTTTAAATCGACATATTATTTCTACTTCCTGAGTAAACAATAGACTGTATTCCATATTTGATAGTACTAAGAATGGTTGTATATAGTTTTAACAAAGGTAATAAAGCTAGACAAGCTAGCAATATAACTTTGTTTATATGGATTTTTGTGAAGCTAAGGAATCCAATATAACGGTGGAGGTCAGTATCCTTATCAACAATCGAAAAATATCAAATGATTGGTTTGCCGCAGCATCATTAAGCAGTATTTCGTCTTTTAAAAGATTGCATAATATATATGTGGGGTTTCCCTCGTTACCAAGCAAGCCTTGTGCTTTTTGTGTACAGGAAATGTAATAATGTTTACAGACAGGTTGTCAAAGGCCTTATCTACATGCACATTAACAAACCTGTCGTGTAAATCTTGAAGTTTTAATCAATTACACTTATAATATATATATATATACCGCGATAGAATCTGTGCAATAGAACCACACATCGCACAGTTGCGTGATAGCAAATTTCGTCCAGATTTTCTATCGTGCACTTTTCGTGCATGTATTGTATGCAAATCGTATATTGTATAATATTGTGCGATCCGATAACTGTATTAACTATATCGGTGCTGCAATAGTCGCTATTGTGAAATCATTTGCTGACGAAACGTCAATATGAGGTCTGATTGAGGCAAGAATTCGCTGTTACTCAGAGTTATGACATGAGAAAATTTTTATTTGGGACACAAAATGGGGAATTATTGTTAATCCTGATAAGACCGAGTCCTTTCTTTTTTTCAAGACGGACTGATTCTGAGATTTTACATCCTATTTTTGTTTTTTATTTAAAAAATGACTGAAGAATTGGTGTGGGAAAAGGTTAATGTTCTTCCCGAGTCATATATTTAACGTTCAGACACGTGTTATCATTAGGTACATGAATAGTTATATACCCACGTAATTAAGAGCGTTTTGTTTACTAAGTGCTACAGGTGACCAGTGTTAGTATTATTATGCCAGAAATGGCTGAAAAATGTATTATAAATGTTTTATTATCAATTTTCTTTATTTTTATCAACAAATGTGTAGTTTGTATAATTTGGAGTGAAAGTTTTATTTTGCTGTATTTTGCCATGATGTAATTGGAAAGAAAGTAAATAAATTTTATGAGTGACAGTTGTTAGGGCTAAATTAGGCTTAGAATAAGTCGGTAACAAAAGAATAAATAACGCAAATTCTCACAAATCCCGGTTCAATAGAACATTTAGCTATTTTTAGAGGTCAAGGACAATAACTCTTTTAATAATAAAGACATACAAACATATGGGAAGTCTTGTACAGAAGTTCGTGAACAATAGGGCAATTAGTTAGAAAGGCCACACAATAGGGCCCGAGTGTTGACACTGCGCTTGTTTACAGATTAACCAGATTGGACAGGTACTGTGTAGGTGTCAGGTACGCGAAACATGCGCAATGATTATTTACAGGGCTAAGAGGCCTCGAATAGGGATTTTGTAAATTGAAAATAAAATTTTGTATCAAATTTCCCCTATTGGGACCCCTGGGTGGAGAAGCGGACAGAGAGGTTATGTGTATGTGTCGTGTGGGCCAGGGTCACTCAACACCCTGACCGCAGCCGAATAAAGATCATCAAATTTAACCTCTGCTGTTGAATCTTCACTTCAGGTCTTCCATAGACATCACTGCCAAAACAGTGTCGTCTGAGAAGATAAAAAAATTGACGACTAAGGCGAGATCAAGTATAAAAGTTTAAAGACATTCGTCATATAAAACCAATATGTAAACATTTAATTGACATCTCTTTTAGTCTCGGCAATAAATCATCTAAACTCTAACACCACCAAAAAGGTAATATCATTACCATTCCTTCGGTATTACTCGCATTCCTCTATCATTTTGTAAAAATAAAACTATAAACATTTGATATCCATGCAAATCATAGATATACAAAGTAAATTTAAATAACGATTGAGCCATCGTTCCATTACAAGTTGTGTATGTAGAAAAACGCGACACAGACTTCCGTGGTATCAGTGATGCACATGACAGTGCATTGAGAGGAAAATATATATTCAATTGTTGTATTACAATATTCTATTATAAATCTATTTATGTATAAGCTGAAAAGAGACACTTGATTCCAGGCGACAAAAAAACCCAAACAAACAAATCGTCTAATTTATCATTGGGAAACTACCATCTGAATTACAGTAAAAGCTATATACGCATTCAGAAAACAACTAACAACATCAAAGTGACGTCTTTATTGTCATGTATTCAAGGGAGATAACTCCAGATAATTTGGAAAGAAATGAAGGTATCTGGATTATCTGAGGTCCACTGTGCTAGGGAAGGTTCCGATGACTGTCAAACTGAAAATTCGTTTATCAATATTTAATATGATTATAGTCGCTAAATTATGTGTATGTTCAAAACTACACTTTCCGTTTGATTTTCAATTCGTAAAATTAGTAAACCTTTTTTACAGAATCGCAGAAAATGTGCGATCCTGTAGAACAGTTTTTTTAAACAATTATATCTGAACGAATTAAAACACAAGATTATATGGATATACTTAATCAGAAGATAAAGTCATTTCAAGATTAATATTAGGTCACACCAAATTAAACAGCAATATTAACAAAACAAGTAAAACTAAACATTCGAATTGTCAGAACTGTGGTGCAGCAGAAACCATCAAGCATGAATTTCTGGAATTTACATAAAACAGAAAGATAACGCTTTTCAAAGAATTAGCAAAATTCGAAATAATGCCTGATTAAGTAAAAATTTACTTTAAGCCAAATAAACAGGAAAGAAAAATACACAACATGCTGATAACGTATCTGACAAATATAGACTGTTTAGAGAAAAATAAGTACCTACATATAGTCTAAAACCCAAATCTGAATAAATGATATTAATAAGCATATCTATATTTAGCACGATAGACTAAATTACTAAAGGACACGAAACACAGAGGTAGGACCAGTATAGCACCAACAGATGGTTCACTATCAACACGTTATTTCTGACTTAAGGTGGGATGTTTAAGTTTTACTGTCAACATCCACAGTTTTTCATTGGTCTCCATGTAAGCTTTCTTTTGTTAATAATATATCCTAGTTTTATTGAATCTGAGTTTGGAATATGAATAATATTGACAGGGTGGTATTTTCTTGTTATTTCTATAAACAGATATTTACAAATATCAGAATATCTTTTGAAGGTAATAGTAAACGATTGACTGTGTTTTGTAAACAGTTTGAAATATTTATGATACATAAACGACGGCCATTTGATGAATTCTGTCACTTTATGGGTCTCTTGCATACGGTCAAGTCGAGTACCGATAAATGATATGCAATCCTGACAAGTGACATCATTTTGTTTGCTAAAATGACGATTGAGACTATATAAGAAATTCGCTTCTTTATCAAAACTGGCTGTGCTTTACATATACAAATAAAACAAATACAAATAAACCCATTATTTCAATTCTGATGGACCTGTTATTCAGATACCATATAAGGGAGTGAAAACCATCATTGTCAAGTTCTATCGAGACAATAAACCTAAAACAAATCTACCCGAAAATACCCCATTCACGACAATTAAAGATTTTTAATCGAGAACAAGCCGTAGAGATTACCTCATGGGTACCGCAATAGCAAATGTGCTTTTTCTGCAAAGGACTATTCTAAGACAGACTTCATTACCTCTTTAGTTAATTTATTATTTCAATGCAGTGATATATCCGTTTTTCGAGAACACCTAGAAACTGATAAAGAACATGTTATGTAATTTGTCCGGTTGATTAAACTGGGTTTTAAACTGAATTGAAATTTACATCAAGGTTGTGAAAAACGTATACAAGTCCATTGAAGTACATCAAACATCTCCAGTATGACAAAGCAATATTCTTTACTAAAGATCAGTCGAGCAGGTAATCTGTTTGTCACTGTTCTGTTCCATTTCCGTGTCAGTATGGTGGTTTTGTCGATCCCTTTTTGCACTCTTTAGCGTGTTATCAATAAGGAGTTGCTTTCTAATTCTCGTTGATAAATTGTCACTGATTTGTTCCGACGTCAGTTGTGAAGTTTTGTCGTGCTGGACATTTGATTCCGTTGTGTCGTGTGCACATCTGTTTTGCTGGAGCTGTTGTTCCGTTGTGTCGTGTGAACATCTGCTGTGCTGGAGTTGTTGTTCCGTTGTGCCGTGAGCACAGTTGTAGTGCTGGAGCCGGTTATCTGTCGTGCGAGTGTTTGAGGATATGCTTATGTTGTTGACGTGTTGACGGGATAAATTTGTGGTGCTGTTACTGGTAATTTCTTCATTTTGTACCTCTTTCACATCCAGACTTTTCAACCATGTTTTTCTCTGTTAATGATAATGCCTCGAGACTTTATATCAGAATTATCTCAACAGTATCTATGTTGTTTTGTAAACATCAATGGCACTTAAACCAAACCGGTCAGATAGATTTCATTTATTTTAGTAACCATATATGAAAACTAAACATCAACCATGATCATTTTGAAACAGCTTTTCAAGGAATTTCAGTGCATGAAAATAAATGGTCAAGTTTTAGAATACAAGCCACGCATGGTGTGGTGATATAGACAATTACATGTCTTAGAGTTAGCCGTCGTCAGTAAATCATAGTGATAATTCATTGCGTGGTATTGAATGCATTCAAAAACAATCACAATGTTTCAAAGTAAAACAAAGTTAAAATTACTGACTTTTGAAATGCTGAAAACTGAAAACTGTACAGCCAGCGTTCTTATTTAGATGTTCGCAACAAGTTTAACCGGCCAATATTTGCTTCTAAAAGCGTTGTCAAAATTTTCATTGTCGGAACCGAAAAGAATAGCTATATGTCATAGCATCATTTAAACATTAATGCACTTACCTCTTCAAAATTTACTCCCCCGTACAGAAATGCGCGAACTGCCCGAGGAAGACAAGGAAAGCAGTGGTCAAAGAATGGGATGATGTAACGGACGTCAACATCAACAGGGTCTGGTCGTCCTGTCAAATTCAATAAACGATTATCATGTATTTCTCATTTCTTGTTTTCATAAAATTCTATACAACTTTTCACTCATGTATGCTTATATTGTAAAACCACCTTGGGTTATTACATATACCCTTGTTAACTAACATGAGAAATCAAATAAGTATACATTGCATGGAGGACAATTACGACGGGAACGGACCTATTTCTTTAATCTATAGTTACGACAGTAATTAGTTAAATAATTCTTATTGAATCATGCGACTAGTATACCTCCCCATCTAGATGTTGACATTTATTTCGATCATTTTAGATTTTTCTCTGTCGCCACTCAAGTTACAAAATTTAGGTCTTTATCACCGCTGATTAGTGTCAAGAGGATGAAACAGCTGTATATTATAGCTTCCTTCATTACTCGGCTATACTGTTTCTTATTCTAAAATTGTATTAAAATGTACTTGTTTATCTTTTGTAACATTTGTGACCTGAATACATAAGAATGTCAAATATAGAGGTAACTTTTTCTTTAAGATATTTCAAAGTTTGTAAACAAACTCATATATTCTGAGCCGTGCCATTGTTCGAATGAATTTCAACTGCTTTTAGAGTTGGTGTCCGTATTTGATAAAGACGCTCTAGTTTTTTATATGTGAAACGTTATATTAATTTTTCAACCATGGTAATAATTATATGTTACCGAAACATCCAAACATTCCTTAAGCTGGCAAATTATAGTTTAGGGACAATAACTGATCGTTTTAAGAAAGAAGAAATGTGCAGTCGTGGTTTTAACTACAATCACATCGTAATACATTCACAAGCAGGTTTGACCGACATGACTTCGGACTTTATTTACACGTGTTTGAAGACAAATATAGAACGGATCAAGATATTTCTTAACAACACACTTCGATTTCTATTCAGCGATTCAAGAAAGTATTAACGACACATGCTTTACAGTCAATATACCTTTCCTGTTAGGACAGACACCACTGTCCCTACAATGACTGTATTGTGCAATTTAAATCTTACCTATTCGGACAGACACCACGGATCCAACATTGGCTGTAGTTAATAGTTTATATAGCTTACTTGTTCGGACAAACACCACGGACACCACAATGATTGTAGTTTGCAATTCAAATCTTACCTCTTCGGACAGACACAACAAACCCCACAATGACTGTAGTTTACAGTTTATATAGTTTACCTGTTAGGACAGAGAACTAACCCCACAATAACTATAGTTTATAGTTTATACAGTTACCTGTTAGGACAGACACCACGGAGCCCACAATGACTGTAGTCAACATACATATAGGGATCAACCAATAGTATGATATTGAGTACAGCACGTCTATTCCTTCACTGTAACAAAAAAACAAGGTTAACTATGTACTTTGCAGAAGGCACATTGCGTTACTGCTAGATAAAGTAGACGTTAAAATGTCTTCACATACGTCTAAAAACGATTATCTGCATGCTCCCTCATTAAAAAAGTCATAGAGTACTTGGAATATATAAACTTATTTCAAATTTAATTATTTATGTTGTTAAGTGCAATCGTTGTTTTTACCAGATGTACAACATTAATATGTCGGCAAGTAATAAAATCATACTAAACTTTTTTTTTAATCAGAGGGATGTTGATCAGCTTTTGTTGCATGACACGTATATATATATATATATTCAATATACGACTTCTAAACTTTTCTTTATAATGTGATTGTATTACTTGTTTTCTCGATCTCCGATAAAGACGGCGGAAGCTGAGCTATGTGTTGTGATGTTCCCTCCTAACTGACTCTGGTTGACGTGATTATTCCAGCACAAATCTGTAGAGACGGGCGGTAACGTTTGTGCTCTAATACGGGTGGGTGAAAAACTCTGTCCTAGAGCCAGCCACATTACAAGTCCCATACCTGTTAGCCCTCCTGTGATAACTCCCTGGGGTAGAATAATATCCATCACTTTATCTATGTCATTTCAGTGGATATCTCACTTGCCATGTCGTTACTTCTGGAGATTGCAACATTTGAGTATATCTTACGTTATGTTTGAGATTGCAGACAGCAAATACTGCTAGAGGCTTTTATTCCTTGAGGTTTGCTTAACCTGCTTTCCATATGTACTCATACGTATTACCAAATGATTGAATTATGGGACTGATGCACTTTCTGTCTAGATTTTCATTTGTCTTTCTATCACATTGGACTGTCCTCAGTTGCCTACTAGGTTTAAAAATTCATTAATTTATATTGAAAGATGTTAGTTTTGTCGTTTGTACAATCATAAATGTATCTTCATAAAATCTCCTGAAGTATGAATTGTCTTGCGTATAGTAATGATAATGTATATATCTATCTCAAATAATAAGTCTACCTTACTGTTGGCCCAAGGACAGTATGCCGCAAAGAAGAACATACCGGCTGACGCTCCACCGAAAGTGGACAACATGCTGTAGGCGATCTGTTGTAGTTAAACAGAAAAATGTTATAATATCTCAGAATTAATAACATTGGTGGTACACAGATCAAATAAGTAAGGTGTATATAACTACATGTAATTGAAGCGGCTGAAATCATGACATATAATTTGGTTATATTAAGTTTTTCGATTATAATGAGTGAACAGTGTTCCTTATTACATAGGTGACATACTTAAAAAATAATGTTATTTCACATTATATTCATTATCGCATATCTGTTTATATTCGATTATGTTCGGCTGTTGATTTGAATTGTGAATGCGTTGATCTATCCACATTACTAAATACATTTAATCATTAAAGTTATATGGTTCTTATACCTCTGATAATGGGCCTTCTATTTCTGCAGTCATGAAGGAAATCCCTATTCCTATAACTCCGTAAACTGGTACTGAAACGATAACACACATGTATTGTTTAGTTGGTTAATACAAACATGTATGTCAACTAACGATTGTTGGAACTATTGTGAAAAGGGTGTAAATCACGGCAAAAATTAAGGTGTTGTTAAAGCCTATTACACGATAAACAAACTCCAGATTTTAATATTGGAATAACATTTACTCTCACCACAAAGTTTAGCTATGAGCGTGGCTTTGGCCTCCGAGATGTCCTTGACCAGTGGTCGAACGATGTCCACTACTGTTTGTGCTGAAAGACTGCTCAGTAATGACGTGATGGCACTGTCAAGAAAAGGACATGTATGTCTTACAGGAACAAGTCGTCCTGGTATCATGTTTACAACAATTACGGTGACTAACTTACAGCACTATGAGTTATGACTTTGTGTTGTGTGGCTATTGCTAGTGATATATAAATGAGAAATAAAATTGTTAGACTATTAGTTTTTAATGTTTGTTTTGTTTTTGTTTTCTTGTTCAATTCTTTTTTGTTTTTCTTTTTTAAAATTCTCATTGTATGGAGTATTGTATCCAGCTTCAAAGTTATTACTTTAATGAGGCACTGAAGACGGCGGCGACAAATACCCCGGCCATCCCCGGCATGTCACGGAAAAGGACCACCACCAAATAAGGAAGGATCTGGTAAAGAAAAAACATGGGTTTTCACGTTTGAATTAACTTGAAAGAGTATATATTCTTGGTATGCTACTATTCAGTACCTACTCCACAATAACAGATCATCTGTGGTATATATACAATGTACAACAAATGAATAGCTGGGGATTAATGTGACCATTGTTTGCTTGTACAAGCTCAGTTGTTTAATATCACATTATAAGTGCTATTAAAATAAGACTATTGAAACTTATCAATTTTTCGCAGTTAAAGATGAAAATGACGAAAATTATCGTTGACCTGACCCTTTAAGTAACATAGACCATTAGCCTCTACAGAATTTTCATAAGTTTTCACCCTTTCTTTAAACACTTTTGACCATATCACCATCATATTAAGGAGTCTATAATTAATCCTTCCAAAAATCAGTAGACATGCATATGTACATATACTCTTCACACTTCTTAAACCTTACGCATCAAGTTTTCCCCACCGATGTTATATCTAGGAGGTAGGTACCTGGTTTGGATTGTCGACAGCTTCAGACTTTAAGGGGTCACACATGATTTTATAGAAGTAAGAGTAGGCGAAAATGCCTACACTACAGGAGAGCAAGAAGCTAACAACAGTCGTTACAGCTGAAATTATTACCATTCTGAAAGGAAACCCACATTAGGAATTACGATAAGCTTAAACGACTAAAAGTCAAAAAGCAGTGTTTTCTATCTGATATTAGTAACGACATAAAATTAAATAACACGATATATTTAGATGAAATATCATTGAAATCACTTGTCGCTGAATACATCTTGCGTATTGAAATCAATTAATTGACTTCTGTCTGTGACTATTTTTGCCTTGGAATCATTAAAATCAAACAACTGCTTACAATGACAACCAAGGCAATATTTGTTCTTAACAGCTAAGGGTATTGATCAGGGTTAACACGTACTTCCTGGCATCTCTTTGGGTCGGGACTGAGCAGATCCTTTGAATAGTTGTCTGGGTGGGTAGGAGATATATGAGAGAAATGGTCGATCCTATTATCAATGTCCAGTAGGAGTGGCGTACAGTGGGGTTAGGGCTCGTGCTGAAAGTCAACAAAATGACACAAAAGTCACAAAGACACTTGTTTCCATAAAATGACCACTATTTTGACATGTACATCAATAATACTACTGCAACGATATTAACCACGATAGTCGCATCAGTTAAACAGAATAAATCAACTAATAACAATTCAACAATTAAGGTTATTTTCGTTATAAACACATTGGTTTTTAACAATTTCATACATACGTACTACGGATATCGCAGCCGCATTCCTTCGTAAGCTATATCAAAGACAGACTTCACACTACCAACTTCTATCGCACTCTGTCAAAATAATTGATTTCTATATAAAAACAATCTTTCATCAAACGTTGTCGCATTCACGAAGCCATATTGCGAAATGACGAAAAAGACTTAACACGTTTTATCATCTTTCTATTCAAATAAGAATAAATTACAGTAAAATATTTACCTTAAGAAATACATGTATTATACAAACAAGGCTGCACAAGTAACATGGTACACAAAAAGCACAATATTAAAAATATCAGTTATATATATATATATAAATAAAAATGATTTTTGACAAAAGAAGAAAGACGTTACATTTTGCACTAGCGCTTTCACTGTATTATATCTTCAGGTGCATAGTCACTGTACATAATGGTGTGGCGTCACAACATGTTATCTGTTGATGACGTTATTATATATATATATATATATATATATATATATATATGTAATTACTAATCAAGGATAGGATAGTACCTGCACAATAATACTGAATATCCCAGTAAAGACGACCAAGAACTGAAAGACATTGGTCCACACCACCGCTTTCATACCACCCTGTAACAAATAATGTCATACCACCCTGTAACATATAATGTCATACCACCCTGTAACATATAATGTCATACCACCTTGTAACATATAATGTCATACCACCTTGTAACATATAATGTCATATCACTTTGTAACATATAATGTCATACCACCCTGTAACATATAATGTCATACCACCTTGTAACATATAATGTCATACCACCTTGTAACATATAATGTCATACCATCCTGTAACATATAATATCATACCACCCTGTAACATATAATGTCATACCACCTTGTAACATATAATGTCATACCACCCTGTAACAAATAATGTCATACCACCCTGTGGCAAACAGCATCAAACCATTGTAAGAATAGCACACTATCCTGTAACAAATGATATCCTGCCATACAAATGATACCATACACGTATCATTCTATAGTAAAACATAACAGTCCATTGTATTTGGAATAATAATATACTACTATTAAACAAAAATGCTCCATTATACTCGAACAAAATATATCTCTTATCACAGTTCTGTTATGGCTTCCACTAATATGTAGTACTTCAAACATGTATAGCTTTATATTAGTGGAAAAATCAACTTGGCTTCAGTGGGGTTTGAAGTTTTTTCTGCATTAATTGCCAGTGGAATGTTGGTATGGATGTGCTAATGATGTCATAGGCATGGGAAGCTCTCAGAAACCATCCGGTGACCGGAGGTTGTGACGAGATATCGGTAGGTTTTACGTGGCCAATTCCGATCAAAACAAGTGTAGAGTTTTTTGTTAACAAGCAAGACACATCGTCGGCTTTACAACACGCAATGTACAGGATTAGAAAGGCTGAGATAAAAGCAAAACGACGATAGCATAAAGTCACATTTAGCCATGATCTGATGTCTAATACCAAGTTCATCTTTGTTAAACAAAGGATGTTTACAGAAACACAAGAAATTATAATACCTTTTTGTACATCTAACGTGACGCTGCACAAAATTATATCAATTTTCAATGGTTTACCTTTATATTTAGTTTGCCGCAACTTAAAGGCATTGATCAGCATTTTTTGTATCCAATCATCGACCGTTAATTCGCTCATTAGTGAATCATAGATATGTTGCAAATATCTATTTGTCAGTCTCAGATATGTAGGTTGAGTAACCCGAAACTGGTGTATATGGATTCTATAATTTCATAGATATTTGAAAATGACAATGCTTTTGCAATTTTATTTTGATATCTTTTAAGATGCACGGAATTCAATTTGCCAACCCAGTTTGACAGTTTGACATTGAATTCGGTTTATAATTTCAAGAATTACAAAATAATTGATCGAGACTCAGAAATGTCTGTTAGTAAATTTCCTTTAATGAATTTACGTATTACGTATTAAAATTTCCATAAGTTACAACACTGTATAAACATTCAATAGATTAGAACTATATAGAGGTTATGTCTCTTACTGTATATTGACAGGTTTCTTCCGTTCCTTTTGGAATGAGGCCCATGGCTTTGAATTTGAGAAAAAGACTTATGAAATCTCAAATTAGGAAATATGACAATTCACAAAGATGCTAAGAATGAATCATAATAAATGAAGATCATGCTGTATATTTGAATTATTCTGGAAATGAATGCAAAAATGTGGCCATTTAAATCATATCCACGTTTTAACTTGTATGGTTGCTAAGGTGCTAATAGGGAAGGAAGATGACTAAAGACAGTTGTTAAACAGAAGAATTAACCTTCGATTGGATAAATTGGATGGAGCTCATCCTCAGCTGGTTACAATGTGACTGAATTGAATTTCAAAAGACATTCCACAATAATATGGCTCAGTATCCTTGACAGGTTATTTCATTTCATTAATAATTACCATAACTTTAGTATGCAAATACAGTACCTACACCCATCTTTGTATCCCAACAACAAAAGATTCGAAACAATCCCGCCCTCCCTACGATCCATGAGCCATCACGGCAGGAACGCAGAGTGATCTCCCTTCCTCTTACCTTTATGGCTGCCGACGAGTGCGGAGGTGTCTGAGCTGAGTGCTTTTCTTACTCCTTCTCTTCGTACTGCTATTGTCGTTTGAGTAAATTGTTACTCTATTAGTAGTCTATAAACCAATCTCCCAACTTATATTGTGAAATTAAGTATTGCCTGTCCTGTTTGCCGACCTTGCAGCCAGACCTCGCCGTGTGAACTTTGTTTGCACATGGGGTCTGCTGCATAGGCTCCCATGCCTGTTCGGCGTACTTCCCGCCGGAAGAGGGATTCGTCCTCTTTTTCCGGTAAGGGAAGTAAGCTTTTAAGTCCTCCTCCTCTGTAGGTGTTTTAGGTGTTCCTGCTGGAGGTGCTCTCGTTCCGCCGAACTCCGCCCTTGAGCAGGGGGTGGCTCCCACTGTCCAGCTGCGTACTGGAGTAGGGGGGCAGCCCGACCCTTACTCGGCGCAGTCTAGGGTCGAATTGGCCGGTAGCTCTCGATAGCCGGCGGTGTTACCGTCGGAAAGGGACTTCCGGTCGCAGGTCTCTGATTCCTTCAGGCACCTCGGCGCGCCAGGTGGCGTCGTTGGTGGAGGCCGCATTGACACCGGACCTGTACCTTCGGGTATAGGGTCAGGGACCACAGACTTTTTGTCATGATTGTCTATGGCTACGGGGATTAGTGACACTGAGTTCACTAATCCTGGTGTCAGCGCGGGGTCTGTTTTCCCACCCTCACAGGTTTCTGGCTCTGGGACATTCCGCTCCAGTCCAGATTTCCCGGTGCAGGGTTTCCCAGGGGTTTGGGGCTTCAGGTCAGGCGTCCGGTTTCCGGTCTCCCTTTCCCCCGTGCTCGAGGTGCCGGGGTGCCTGCGGGCACTTATTCCAGGCCAACCTGCGGATGGTTCTGGGTACCAACAGTTACCCAGCATGTATGGGTTTCCACCTGGTGAAAGTGGCGGTTCCTCCTGGTCCTTTGGACAGGGTGTCCAGCCCCAGGCTCAGGCGGGCCATCCTGGCCAGTTCTGGGGTCACTCCCAGCCCGCGGGACCATTCCCATTCCCTCAGGGGTTGGGTTTAACCCAATTGGTCTTCCCTCGTGGAACCCTATGGGGTTGGTCTCTCCCTTTAGGAGATGTTATAGCAGTGCGGAATCCCCCACCGATCTGCTACGTCGGGGGCCTTGTCGGCCGGTCCTAAAAAGGTTCGCGGGACCTTTAGAACTTCCGCCTCCTGCGCGGACCCATCGGTCTCCTGTTCCCAGGGGTCGGCATCGGGTCTCCGACCCAAGCCTACAGCTACGGCTGCTAGACGCTCTGCGTCTAAATGCCGTATAGATTAGTCCCCCTCTCTGCAGATGGCTCCTCTGGCGGCCCCTGTTCCTTCCAAGGGGACTTCGTTCCCTATTGAGGAGGAGATGGACGTCGAGGGCGCGGGCTCGGCAGAGGAAGACGATGTCATTCATCTTTCTCCTGGGTGCTCGGATATTGATCCATTCGAGTCATCTGATGATGACTCTCCCGGCCAGGAGGGTTCCCAGGGGGTAAATGGCCCTAAGACTACTGAAGCCGAGGCTCAGCATGTGCTTTCGGGTTTGCGGCCCCTCCGAGCCGGCATCTCCCGGAATCTGGGGTTGGAGGTCTGCCCACCGCCTTCTGCATCGTCGGTGCCCGAATCCACCACCTTCTGGGTTCTCTGGTGGCTCCTCGGGCTTCCGTTCGCTCAGATCGGTCTCTGCCAGAAGGCACTATCGTGTCTTCGGTTCTGGCCACTGCCCGGGATTGGGTTTTAGAGAAGGACTCCTCCTCTACCCGTGCTCCCGGGTTTGCCGGTCTGTAGCTCGGTGTTGGCGATTTGTCGGAGACTTTGGCCTCCGACTATGCCACACATGACGGGCAGCTGGCCTCTCAACCAGAGAGCAGGCTTCCTGGCCCGGCAAATCAGTGGACCAGGTGGTGCTCGATCCCACCAAGAGGTTGGATTGATTTGAATGCCATGTACTTTAATTTGAAATTTATTACATCATGAAAATTGGTTTTACATGAAAAAACCTCAATTTTATTTTGTCATTTGATAGTATTGTTTACTGCAAACTGCAGGTTGGATTGAATTGAATGCCATGTACTTTAATTTTAAATTTAATATTTTGTTTACACTGAAATTGGACTATATATAGGTATCTCTTAAATATACAGGTATGTAAATTATTTGAGTGAAAAATCCATTTCAAAAAATAATTAAAAAATAGACAAAGTTTCGGAATAACCAAAATATAAAGTTACATTTAATCTTAATCCTGCAACAGAATTTATTAGTCCGCATTTTTGTTTACCTGGTATTTGACCGTGCATGGTTTTACTGTGGTCAGTAACTTCTGGGAAATGTTTCATTTTGATATCTAGTAGCTCTTCAGGGCTTATGAGTCATGTTCTTTATAAACAACGAAACATTAAATGGCTTTATCTCTACTTCAAATAAAAACAAGAGGCATAGACGACATGTATCGCTCACCTGGATATTAATAATGTCTATAAAGCAAAACTTTACGTTTCTGTAGAAGGAAAATATTTTCCCTGGTGATTTTCATCCCACAGATACAGCTTTAAATTCCCTAGGGGTAGGGATAGAGATCAGTTGTTAATCTCTTGATGTCCAGCAATGGTATTATGTTATGGGATGGCAATCTCATTGGCGACGAAGATATAATCTGTCCTGGGATAGAACAGACCTCAGGACAAATTCAGCTATGAATGTGTTTATCTCATGATGCTCAGCAATGCTATAGTTTTTCAGTGGGTATCACAACTGTTTAGAACAATCAAAGATCAAAATAAATTGTTGATGGTGCAAAGCAATGATTTGTTAATGAACTAAATCTACGTTGGGGTAAGATTTTCCCTATTTGGGCTCCGCACCCTTAATCCCTTGGAGCCGAGACCTACCATGCTTCATCCCAAATTTTACCAAATCCGCTCAGTCGTTCATGAATAGTTGCAATATATTTTGAAAGTTGACAAACGACGGACATCGGACGATAGACAGACGACGGACGGGCGCTGGCGCCGCGGTATACATATAGCTCACTTGGCCCGAAGGACCAGCTGAGTTAAAAAAGTATATGTTTACTCTGACCAGCGACTTCCCTAGTTGTAGGTCCCTGCATACATTTGAAATGTTAGTTTTCTGTTTAAATTGTGTTATTACTAAACAAATGAGACAATTTTATCTCACGTATACACACGTAGACAAGTGATGTGTATATTATAAAGATTTCAGTAGAAGAAACAATACTTTTTATATAACGTGCAATAGAATCTACTGTATATTAGTCTGAATTGTTTGGAGTCATTGTCAATACGAATAATTAGAAGAAAAAACATTATTTTAGAACGTATTATCATTTACAGACAATAAATGATTTTGAGCTTATCAAAAGCGGATCTCATGTCACGAAGAGCGTGTCCGGATTTTATTTCGGGCACCTTCCACCTTGCGTGTTTTAGTGGCGCCATGTGCAGAGGAGTGTAAAAAGATGGCAGATGGCACGTCGACAGAAAATTCTTAGATATTGTCTACGCGAAACTGATTTTTTTTCCTTGTTTAGTTTATTATGTAATAACAGATTCTTTGATCATGTTTAAAAATGCCCAGAAGGACTAGAAAAATACCTGTCCCATGACGTTTCCCCTTTTCGAAAGGGTCTTGCAGAGAAACTTAGATGCTTTGTACACTAAATCTGTATTGAATAAACACTTAGATGTTGTACTTTTTACATGATCAGTGTGAATTCTTGTATGCTTCATTCGCAAAGGGTTTTCCGAAAAAGGTATCAATTTCACGTACAGTATTGACCTGGGTACGGCATTCTGACAACGGACTCCTTAACATAACATATTAGATATTTTCTTGCAACAACTACAGACAAACGTTTTAATACTTTGATGAAGCCAAAAGACAGAAACCGTCGATAAGGCAAATGACGATTGAAGAAAATAAACACAAATACTGGCGGTAACAACTGAATGGTTTCTTTCCATGTAAAACAAAAGGCTTGTATCTTTTAAAAACAAACAGGCTTCGTTTGAATCCGTCTTAACGTACAGTAGATCAAAATTTCTTAATTTCATATATACGGTATTATCTTTTGAATACTGAAATTTGAAAATTACAAACAATTACAATATCGTGTTATCTGACATGGATTATGGTACATGTAAAAGCGTATACGGCGACTTCACAAAGATTTCCAAGAATACTACATGCTCAAGGGAATTGTGCAGCAGAAGGCAGCAACCAGATGCCTATACAAATCCATAGAATTGTGTATATAATCGTTGCACCACATGCACTTACCGTCGCCGTGCCAATAATTGCGGTTATAGCAACCGCCAACACTGAGCCCCACATTGGAAAGTCCGTGACTGTGGTAAAGAAAACAAGACAAAATTAAAGAATAGCTATTTCAGACACACACATACAGAAAACTGAATTGTATCACTGCGTTCTTCTCTGTAATCTAGCCATCTTTGTTCTAAGCACCAGTGATTAGTATTCCACATGGTTTATACATAGGTCAAAACACATGTCGGATATTGAGGCTTGTGAGACAGATTGATGGCTGAGTTTTGGGACAATTATGAAAGTGGTAACTTGGTAATTTGTGTTTTAATAGTACGACAACTTGGTCGATAACTGATGGGTGTTTGAGGTGATTGAGTTGTGAATTGAGAAGAGAGACAGTTTAATAAGTGGTGGTTGGGCAATTGGACAACGAGTAAGCTGTTAACATGTTCATGGTTTAGCATTGAGTATAAAGTATCCTATGAATTGATAGAAATGTATATATATATATATTAGTGGATAGCTAATCTGGACTTCAATAGAATGGGTGTGACTGGGTAAGGGGAAACGTTGATTAATTGTCTGCTGAACATTACGTCAGCCTGGTTTGTGATTACTTAGTAGTTAGACAACAGAATATGATCGGATTTTTGGATGACCTGAATAATTCACTTGTGTCGTGGCTGCATCGTGAAGCATCAAAAACCGCGCAGGCTTCAAGGTTAGCAACAGGGTTATTGTACAAGTTGTATTATAAATGACCATATGATGGATGGTTTATCGAGTTCTAGCTTCATTCACAAATGCTATCCTTCCACTGTTGTTCTTTTCATCGATATTCTATGCAACGAAGATGAAAGCTATTTTATATCGACAATTTCCATCAAGTGTACTCTGGGTAAAGTCCATTGTCACATATGTACTGACACTACCATATAAAACTCGATCATAAATTAGTTTGAGAAAGGAAAAAATACAAACCTGCCTCAATTGCAATGCCAGGTCCATAGAGAACAATGCCCATGTACACGACCTGAAACGGAATAATCTAACTTTGCATTAAACATCACTTTGAAATATGTAATTAAAGGTTTAAAAAACTTTTTCCGACCGTAATCACAATTAATCCGTCAACCGTTTATATAATATTATATAGGTATAACTCGTTGTGTGATATATTACCCTATAATGTATATTGCCCTATGCTGCAACATCATATACTTTTTTTTACTTTTATTACTTATATAAAATATTCAATGATTCATGAGCATATGAATTCACAATACATAAGTACCTGCAATATTATTGAAAATAATGTCCACAGCGGACTGAATGGGTTTGTAGTATACATTCTATATTGCTGTTTATGATACCCAGCGATTATTTCATATTACCCTGCATATAGATAAAAGCATTATGGTCCTATAAAACGACATCTTTAGCCTAACGTTTACCACAACTTACGTTGAATAGGATTCCCATGCTAGTTGCGACCACCCGAGGTGCTTTACTTTGAAATCGAAGCTGAAAATACTAAAAATTCATAAAAGTTGTAATCATTCAAAATAAAGAAACGTTACACCTATACATTAAAGACACATTTTCATACGGACTGGAATTAAATTGTACTATTAAGTAAATAAGAAAAACTATCCAAATCTTGTCTGCGATTTCTGTTTACTCAAGTCTGCAACTCTTTTATTATTTGTCACCTACAATCGGGGGAGGCTGTTATATTCCGGAGATATGATAAACATTTCAATGGAACATACACGTATGAAAGGTATAAAGGTTAATGTTAACTTCTTTCTCTCGTATACATTTGTACTTTATCTTTCTACAGATAAATTATGATTAAAGGGAAAACTTATCTTAATTGAGACATAAAATAAACTTTTTTCCATTGTACACCGGCACATGTCAAAATTTTGAAAAGTTAGAACATTCAACGATTTTTTCAGCCATTTTACTAATATCACTTAACATAAGCCCGCATGCTTTTTGTCTTAACTATTTTAACAGTTTCAAGGCCACAATTTTGCAATTACCAATTTCAATATCTTCACTAACATATCAATATGTAGAATTATGGATTGTTCTAGCGTAAATATACTAATACTGTATAACAAACAGGATAATAACACAAGATGTAATGACACAAGATGTGATAACACAAGATGTAATGACACAAGAAGTAATAACACAAGATGTAATGACACAAGATGTAATAACACAAGATGTAATAACACCAGATGTAATGACACAAGATGTAATGACACAAGATGTAATGACACCAGATGTAATGACACAAGATGTAATGACACTAGATGTAATGACACAAGATGTAATGACACTAGATGTAATAACACAAGATGTAATGACACTAGATGTAATGACACCAGATGTAATGACACAAGATGTAATGACACAAGATGTAATGACACCAGATGTAATGACACAAGATGTAATGACACAAGATGTAATGACACTTCGATTCTGTCCCATGACTCCTTGTTGTGAAATGTAGTTTGCTTATATTACATTTCATGCACAGGTAAATGCGTGAATGCTTACCTCATGATTGGATGGAGTACATTCATAATCTTCTGAACACATTAGTGATTTTGAAGTGCGGACATGATTTTAACTCGTACAAACTAGTGAGTTTGATGTAGTACAAATATGCTCTTACTTCGTACATACTGTTCTTACCTCATACAGGCTCGTGATTTTGAGGGGATAGATGAGAGGTATGATGGAACACATGGCGAACAGGTTAGAGAGTACTAGTCCAATGGCTTGCCACATGAAGGGAGCACCGTACATATATATCTCCGCCGGATTTCCAAGGAGCATGATGGATGACTGGAAGGAGACAGTCATCGACAGAGCTACTGGTAGGATGCTCAGCTTCCTATCCGCTAGCACATACTGCTTGATTGTGTCCTGTTTCGGTTTACACCAAGCCAGGTATAACCCTGTTCCTATTGAGACGAGAAGGATCGACACAAAGACGATGTAGTCTAAGGCGACAAATCCCTTAACATCCGGAATCATGTCTGTGAAACAAAGAACCCAAAGTAACCAAATAACAAAGAGCAATCACCTAAATACTTAATAAATCGTGCAGCCAAGGATTAAATATATTCACTGGTCCTCTTTATACCTATTTTAATGTTGTCAATAAATAAAAAAAGTCATGGATAGTTCGCAACACTGTTAATTCTTTAGATATGGAAAAACGTTGTTTATAAGAACAAGAAAAGTGGTATAACAGTTTTAAGATACATTATATTCAATGTGTAAATGATTGTCAGTTTAGGTCATTGATTTGAAAACAGTAGATAGATGTAGCTTAAACCCAAGATAAGAAAAGACAAAGTTGATTTTATTTTTCATTCAACATACATTTTTATTGCAAAGCGCTATCTAATTATCTAGTATCCTAGATATCATATAACGTAAAAGAATTTATAATGTCCATAAAAGTTTCCCTGAGTACATGTCCTGTCAATTATGACCTCATGAATCCTTTCCAGGTGGTATGTGTCACAAAGATTTGCGTAATACACGTTTGACCAATATGCGTTGCAACGTCATTGTATATATTTTACAAAAGACACTCGAGTGAATAGCACCTGTTAATAACTAAGTGTTTAAAACAGCAGAGCCAAACAATGAATTAAACTACATCATACAGCTGTTTCGTCATTTTGGGACTCGTCAGTGATGTTAAGGAAATAAATAAATTTTGAAGCTAAGGAGGCAACTCAGGAAAACCCAAAGTTATCGAAAGAAAAGTCAAAAGTCGAAAGGTGCAGCGGTTACATAATAGTATGAATTTCGTAATTCTGATATATCAGACAATTTTAGAACAAGTGCATGTGTTTATTCTGAACCGTGCCACTAATCTAAATGATTAAAACATGGAATGCAGGTTACGACAAATGGATCTATACCTGCTGGTGCTTCGATAAGTCGATGGAGGATTTTTCTTTATGTATGCATATTTTCCAGACGGTCTTGGTACATGTACCTACAATATATTTTAAAAATGTACAGATTAACAACTTCATGTAGGAATCACGGACGATGATATCCAAAAGTCACAATTAGAACTACTAATCAAGTGCAAATAAGAATATTTCATATTAAGTTAAGGGGTTATGGTTTTCTAGCGCTTATTGACTCGTTGGCAATTTACATAACTAAAGCACTGTTTGGCTTCATCATCAAGTTTTAACAATGTGTGTTATAGGATTATTAACTTATCATAATTCCCTGCGTATTGTCCGCAGACCATACGATTTAAAACAACAAAAATGTCTTAGGCGATCAACTCGATGACTTTTAGTAAGATCTGTCTTTTTGCGCCATTTTCTATTGCGTTCCAATGACATGTTTTCAGCTCTACGAACAAATTTAATGTCAAGGGCGATATGTGATACCAACGGTTAGATTATTGTATCTACTTCGTGTAGTATCAGGTGAAGTTTGTAATATTAGGTAGACAATTATTTCAAAGGTCCATCATCTCGAGTTAGAAATTTTATAGCTTCCCATTTAAATTTCATTTCTGGGAAATTGTCTGAATGAGCACATCCTTGCTTGGAGAAATCTCCAGGATCCGCTCCAAATTTGTTTACATATTAAATAAACTGTCTTAGTGCTAGGAGTCTGCTTTGTATTAGCAGAAACAACATTTTCCCTTAGTTTCTTGATTCATTCTTAGAGGAAGAAACAAACCTTGTATACGGAGTGAGTATCGAAGTGGATAAATATAGAGGTGTTCCAAAAGTTCCTTTGGTATGCTGTATGATTTTTCATACCTTTAACCTTGAACCAGCATAACTAGAAATCAGTCTATCATGACTTTATTATCGTGAGAAACACGTAGACAAGGTATGATATTCAGAACGCTCTGTCAGGTCAGTAAACTAATAACCTGGGGCACCTTTTTGACATCGGGTAAAATCTACAATATATAAGCGTTTACCTACTTTGTATCAAGAAATTTTACACAGTTACATGTACAGTCTGTTTTTAAGGGAATTGGATATTTGGAAACGATGATTCATACACATATACATAATACTATTTGGTCTTGTACTTTTCCTGGTAGCCAGTCGACCTCCTTAATCATCAAGATAATCGAAGATATATTAAATGATTTCTTAAATTCCCAATGATGTGGAATTTAAATCTTTCTTTGACAGTTAAATCAACGATTAGACGATCATATTCGCTTTTGTAATATATACAGGGTTCTTTGATTGTTTCAACATGACAAATATTGATGGATAAAGCAGTTTACCTAGAATCGGAACAAATGATTTTGTGCACGTTGCTTGAGAGAATTCATAGCGAAGTTTGAGGGGCATTGCAGGAAAATTGCCATTTGAAAACAGCAATATGCTTGAAACAGGCATACATTTACCATAATCAGTACTTAAACCAGACAAGGAAAGAGACGAAGAAGCACTGTGTTTTTATTACAAACATGAAACGGAGTATTAGGAATGTATATCTGGAATTGTGTTTGACCAGAGAGTAATTTTGTAAAGGTTAAGTGTCATATATTTACGCAGATATAAGTCATTATCTGTTATGTGTAGCTTAACTTTCACTGTGCTGTCATTTAATAACATATAATAAATTACCCTGGTGTTTAGACTGGTTAGTAGTGGATATAACTTTCACCGGTTTCATATATTGGCTTAGATTGAAAACATATATGTATTACCTGATAGTTGATCATTCGTGGTAAAACTCCTTTGATGTGCAAATGTCCGCTTTGTTGTTAAACCCTAACACCAGCATATGTAGTCAACTGGGTAGTAAGAACTGGGTAAATCTTAAGCGTTTTGTTTGTTACACGGGCGACCCAGCCGGTACGGTGTAACACAAGTAGGCGTGCAAAAGCAACATCTCATCAACATACAGAGTCCATATACTAGTACTTCGCATTGTGTCCCGTATCAGAACTGTCCATAGGGTTCTGAGCTATCTCCCCGTCTGTCCATAGGGCTAGTCTATATGGTTCTGTCCATAGGGCCCTCTTCCTAGTGCTCTCTATCACACCCAAAACTCCCCTCATTTATCCATACTCTATAAGATCTTATCATGGAAATGCCACGATCCTATGCCCCATTGGTTGACTTTCATATCAGGGTGGAATTCAGTTCATTAGACTAACTAATACCTGTTAACCGGGAGAATTGCATGTGTTAGAGTTTAATCTTTGGCACGGCGTACATTTTCAAATGCAGACCGCCGTCCGAAAGATAGCTGAATTTGTCAATAGAATAGACTAATAGGATCAGAAGATATCAGTGCTGTCCGCTGTAAATATAGTTACGAAATATCGGTGTGCATTCATAAGTCCCACCCAGTCTACCCAATATTATGTATTGATAAAATTAATCAACCAGTCAGTCAAAGATTATTGACTTATGTATCTGAGTTACACCAATATCGAAACCACATTTTGTAACAATATATCTAAACCCTATTTTGTTACATCGGATCCGGACTTGTCACCTATATACCCGTATAAAGGTAAACTTTCTGGAGTGCGAAGCTATATACGATAAGGCTGAGTAATGCAGGTGCAGTGTTATTTTCGAAAAGTGTCGAATTAAAAACGGTTTTCATAGTCACCGATCAATTTACTTTTTATGTGATCGCTATTTAATAATGATTTCAGAATTTTCTGTTTAATTTTCAATCCGTAATATTTAGCCAACCGATTTTATAAAACTGCACAAAATATGCAGTCCTATCGGACAGTTGTGTATTGTGTATCTATATTGTGTTTATATATAAATTCATGTCTTTGCCAATAAATCACAAAAAATAAGATTTTGAAAATATGTCACATCAGAAAAAAAAATCAAAATGATTATGTGTTGCTAAAAATAACCTACAAGGATTTTTTTCTGCGATGATAAATTTAGATATGACTTACAGGTAAGTGTAGAGTATGTTTTATTTATTTTCTAAATATATTAGCATACAACAAAGTATATTTCTAAATTAAGCCATTAAGATACAGGTAGACACATATAGATATATCAGATACACACTGAATAGACAGATACAGTGTCTTGTTTACAAGGAACCACTAGTGACCTGCCTTGTGTGCGTACGATGTATGCTTCCACAACAAAAACAAGCTATTTCAGCTTATACCACTAACTTGTTGGTCGGGGTGCAAGCGCGCGTGGGTTCTTATTGTGGGAGGAAACAGTATCTGGGAAAACCCACGTGGTCGGGCAGGTGATCCCTTACCTTTTCACGTTCGTTCCGGGTATTGAATCCCCGACGAGTGTGTTACCACTGCGCCATCCGACCACCCCAACACATTTAATTTTGCTGCAATCGGCACTGACAAAAACAGTTATATTTAGCACGTGCATGAATTCGACAGAATTGCTGTCTGAATTTACCTAATGATAACGTTCAATAAATAGAAATACCTGTCTAGATTTATAAAGTCGCTGTTATGCATGTTGAACTTTTCGTCCGCGAGGAGCATTTATTTTGGCGAAGATTCAGGCAAAATTCAGCGTAACGTTAACGGCAAGTAATAAGATACAGAACAAAAAAAACTTGTTTGAAGTTTTGACGTTTCTACCACAATACACTGTGTTATTCCACTTTCATACCATTGTATATACATGTAAATGATGACGGTTAGAAAATACTAATGGTATGTCACATCTGGTCTTTTGATCGGTTGACAAGTTGATCTTTGACCGAAGGACACTTCACAGTCGCGGAAATAAAAAAAGGCAAAGTATTTCACGTTCGGTTTTCGTAATGATTTGATTTTTACGTGGATTTCTATCAATTTAATAAAGATAATAAACTAATTTATTTGATATGATTCATTATAAATATTATACTTAAACGTATTTTTGAAATCGCAGTCTTGAAACTGGAGAATATCATACAAACGCACTGTTGTTATGTATGGAATTTCTCTACCCGAGTTATCTTTCAAAAATCAAAAAGCATTACCTTTCGCTGTTTCATACAAAATGTTATACAACAAACTCGCTTAGTGTATTTTCTCTTAGCTTTGGGATAACGAAAGCAGATTAGATTTGTTTTCATAATATAAAAGATATTATGAAATAAGTCTTATGCGTACTTATTTTTGTGAGCAATGTGAAAAGCTCTTTTCTCAGGGAAAACACTCATGGCATGTGATGGAAAAACAGAAACCAAATATTAATGTAAAATATTATATCATTGTATCGTTTATATCCTTGTGAAGTGTTAACGCCAATGTTAAAGCTGACCATGTTATATAAAAATGGTTATCTCCCCCTTATCTTACTGATATCGTAGTCCTAAAATTGCACTTGAACTTGAAGAAATAGTAATAAGAGATTTTGAAGGCGGAAGGCGGGAGGGGATGGTATTTTCAATATAAAAAAATACGCCTCTTCTAACCCGAACTCCTGGACCATCTCTGGATATCATTGATCAGACAGCGGGGTCCAAATTAACGGGAGAAGATCCTATTTTTTATCAATCAATGCCCAGTTAGACGGTGTCATCTGGATAACCGACTAATACCCAAGTACACGGGACAATACCCTATATTATCAAGTAATGTTCGCGTAAACGGAAAAATACAAAAGCCAGTATACTGGTAGTAATAGACTCAAGAAAAAATAAAAACGCACAACTCTTTATTTTATACAATTAATCTAAAGACATAGCATATATGATGATATTGGTCGAACAACAAAACAATAAAAAAAGCTCACAAAATGACACAATTATTTGTTGGATGGCTTTCCAACCAACATTACATACATCGTATGAAGCTTTATTTTACACTGTTGACACTCCGACTGAGTTTTATTGAAACGTATTTGTCAAAATCTTTTTAAAAAATTCGGATACAGCACACAAGCGTTCATACATTCATACTTGAATTCAATTGAATAAAACTCACACCCTAAAGCACCCAAATGACCTTACCCCAATCTTCCCAAACACAAATACACTTGTAGTACGATAATAGAGGTTGTACACACGCACGTACAGGACTATTTGCGGTACAATACTAGAGGATAGTTTAATGTACACAAACATTCCATCGGCTACACAGGGTTTTTTTTATCTGATTAATCTTTGCTTATGGAATAAACTAACCACCAGCGTAAGAAAAACGTGAAAACGTGACCTAACAGCTGTAGTTAAATGACTTCTGTCTCTATGTTTTCTAGCTTAGTTTGTTGTGAAGTTAGCAGCCGAACCCTATACGGTATTGTAATAGTAATACAACAACGTAAAGCCGTCACAGCTCTGGTGCAATATTCTATTTACCTGGTCAAATCGTCCTTACTTGACTTTTTCGTCCTATCCTCACTCCGCTGATTATACAACATCTATTTCATGCACCCTTTAGGATACTGTACGACGCATACACTTGTTTAAATTTACTAGTCCTTGTTCATCTATAACCAGGTGTACCCGTATCAGTTTATAACAACTTCTGTTAACATCGTATGACGAAGGCATCCATGCATAATGACGGTTTATTTACCTAGCATTTTCAATATACACTTATTGGTGTGTACTTCTACTACGTGTCAATCCTTACTTTGATTTTTCTTTAATACTTAATATTCCAAGCCAGTGCTAGCATGTATATGGCTAAACCATAATCCTATTATTGTTTGACATTGCCTCTTGCCCAAGTGCCGTTAAATATTTTTGATTTAATAAAATATTTTGAAATGAAGTCTAGCGTCCATATCTGTTATACATATATAACCATAACAAACATATATACCCAATCGTAAATGTGAAATATCCCCACATAATTTATAAAGAGTGGTATTCTAAAAATAGGTACACATGACTGATTTGAACTTTCGACTTTCAACCTTTTAAAGGCTTTTCAAGTATACTTATACAGACATATTCCGAGAACTTGAAGAACCAAAACGCTAAAATGGGATTTATAATGATTTATGATTGCTATTTTACACGTTGTCTTATGATCAGATTTTTGATAGCCTTTTGACAAGGAATAATTCAAACTGATACACTACACCAGGCCGGGTACGGACTAAAGGGATGATTTTACCTGTCATGTTAACCGCTCAATGAATGAAGTCTATACGGTTGGTATATCATCACAGAAGCTGTGGATACAGTTGTAAGAACATTAACGTCACGTCATGTAGCAATAAGATTTTCAAAATATATTACCACTTTGGAAATTGTTAAAATGCCTTAAGAAAACTAGATTAATGAATTAATCATACAAAAAGTATACAGAATCATAGTGTATATTTCAGTTTAAACAGACAAGTAAGTAACATGTTTATTACATTTCGGCAGCAAATTTATAACATATCTGTTGTAACAAATGTATAACAGTGCTAGGATCAAATACGTCAGATAAAAGTTCGGTTCGTCACGTATCAATACTCTTCTCTTTCGATCACAGACTAGTTATCATTTCGCAGTCTGATCCTTCCCGCTCGATCTCTTCCTCACTGCTTGCTTCGATCTGGGATTTCTTGTCTCGGCTACGATCTCTACCCATGCGCTTTTTCTCCAAAGGCAGTACATCTTTCATATCCTGGAAATCGCCATGAAATGAAAATCAACATTCCATTAAGAAATACAATAACATCCTTCCGTCATCTTTTATTGGGTCGATTTGAGTTTGACTCAATGAAAAAAAAATCAACCACTTTCGGTAATTATTGTGCTCTTTTTATAAAACGAACCATCACAACATGAGAGGGGAGACAACTTCCTTTTCCCTTGGAGACTGTTTGTACAGCATTTTTTATTTGAGAATTGTCACCACCTATTCCTTCGAATGTAAAAGAGACGCCATTGTTTTTAACCACAAAAGTAACTGTTACACTAACCTTTTCGACAAGAGGAGTGGATGCAAATGAGTCGATGGAGCGTTCGTCCACTTCAGGATCAATACCTGGAGTAGACAGTGTCTTCAGCTTTTCGTTAGCCTTAAGCACGTTTCGAATCTGGCAAAAGAAAATAGTAATATCGAACTAAGAATTAATGTAACTAATTTCACACCACGGGCAGTTCCAAATAACATCATTTAAATACATCATTTAATTCACATTCAAACGTAGCCATCAAATAACAGTTCATGTTGTTATTTTCAATATTGTAATAATAAGTGATAATAAAGGATATTGTCCCTTGTACTTGGGTACAGGAAGAAAGTAATTGATTTTCCGCAATAGGATACGCATGATATTTGTCCTTATCGTGACGTAATTTGACTCGTTTACAGCATGTGGTGGAATGTTTCTTCAAAACTTCAATATGCTTTATAACGCAGCTTCCACAAGGATTTAATTTAATAAAACATTTACAAACAACGAAACCACCTACCTCTTCGTGGAGAAGGTTGAATACCGTAAAAAACATCGCCTGAAAAATATGTATATACATAAATATATAGGTAAAACATTAAATGCACAAAAGCCTTCACAGCAATTACTGGTTTTATCCCTTCACGTGTATGTATACTAAGAGCTCGATATAACCACAACATTAAATCTATCAGAATGATCTGCTGATAATCATCAAACTTTCTGGTATTCTGTTTATTCATATGTTTGAAATGACAATGATAAACATACTTGTAAAACATTCATAAGGGCATATAGGTACTTGATGATCGAGTCATGCATCTTTAGGGATAGGAAGGCGAAGGACCAGTTAACAGTGACCAGTATGATCTGGGTCCACATCCCTTTCATCTGTATCCTGTAACATCCATACATTGAAAACTCAAAACGTCATTATTCATTCCCGGCGAATACTCCTCGGTCCATTTGGGTTAAAAAGCTTAAAAAATTATATTCCATACAAGTTCGTTCAACTACAATATACGCTATGTAACATACATAAGAATGTGTTTCAAGATTCTCTATGTAAAGTGCAGTGTGATTTTCCCGTCAATTATCAGCGATACATTCGTTAAATAATTTGATGAAGCTATGATGTTGTATGTTCCTACAGGAAAGCGACGGTTAAGATTATCATAATTACCCTTATACAGACTAATTTGACAAGAATCATTAATTGTTAGAAGTAATAGCTATATGCCCTTTCTTCCAAAATCTTTTTACGGTACTGTTTTTGAGGTTCGAGTTACGTGTTATGGTTTGGAGTGATATTTCCAACATTCCAATCATATTTCGCGTCTTGAGCAACACTCACGTTAGTACTTTATTGGTCTTTTCACTCTTGGTATATGAGTTTTCGTTGTGTTCCTTTGCTGTTAGTATCAAAACCATGATTGCCACCTGAAAATAGCAGTATTGTTAAACCAACTCTCATTTTCTGTCACCCATCGATAAGATAAAGACGTCACATGGATTAAGACCAATTCGTTCCATACGCACCATATGAATTATCACCTACATTATCCTAAAGTGATAGGCGAAAACAAGAGCCTCAGTTCGTGTTGACTGTTATGCGTTCTGCAAACGGTGCCCAGAGTAATATCCCCATTGTTCAAATCCGTAAATGTATTTCTACGTTTGAATTTTGATCGATTGCGAACTAATTTGACTACTTATTTACTCTGGATTCCAGATAAACTATACTTAATTCTAAATAACGGAAACCAATAATTAGATTAATCACATATTGTCCTTATTGCGGGAAAGCATTAAATATATTCAGAACATATCTTAATTACGACCATTGTTGATAGCTTGTGGATATAGGGATGGCTGAGAATACTAACCGTAACTATACCAAGTGTTGGCCCCACAAATAACCACAGGTTGTCCCAGGCAATCCAGCACCTACAACAGATAACACATCATTCAAGAAATTGCCTTCGCCCACACTTGACAGATGCATTCACAACATAGGGATCAATAAGTTTTTCCTTAGTGAAAGGACAAGTCACACGTGCAAAATACGCGTCATCGTTGTATGTGGTGTAGTCACGCCACGATTGGGATCATAAGTGTTGGAGAAAAATAATCAATCACGTCAGTGTGATTTGGATGAACGTATCTGGGCTCATGTGGGAATATTTTCAAAGTTTATAACTCAGTAGTATCTATACTTTTGTAAATCTTAGCGGACCGAGTGACAAATATGGTAAAATAATACATTAATTTAGGAATGGTGAGATATTTATGAAATGTATCCTATCAAAATTATCGTTGATGTCTATACATATAACTTATGTTTCATAAAAAGTAGAATATTAAAATCTGCTGATTTCGCAAAGCCTCTTGCAATCTTAAAAGAAGAATTCATAAACGAGAATGGAATTTTAACGAAGTGCTTTTGTTTATTACACAGACGAATTGTAGTACAAATACTCGTGGAAACATCATTTATGACGCTTAAACTTTTCCTTGTGTGTGAATACAATTGGAAATCTGTTAACTACGAGAAAATATCATGTCACAATCTGCTATAAGATCAGTGAACGTGTCATGACGTCCACTACTCTCCCTATATCAGACTCTACAATGGGTGTTTTGACATCAAAGATAAATCAGTAACGTTATATTAATTCAATTTACATGCTCAAAAAATATTTTCAAATTTATATTGAAAAGTGGTACTTACATATCTTTGGCGTAATAAGTTTCACCTTGCGATCCCACAAAAGCACCAACAAACACTCCTGGTAGGACTGCAGAGATACAAAACGTACATTAGGTAAAATTTTACCACCCACTAACAAACACTTCAGGTAGAACTACAGAGATACTTAACGTACATTAAGTAAAATTTTACCACCCACCAACAAACACTCCTGGTAGGACTACAGAGATACTAAACGTACATTAGATAAAATTTTACCACCCACTAACAAACACTTCAGGTAGAACTACAGAGATACTTAACGTACATTAAGTAAAATTTTACCACCCACCAACAAACACTCCTGGTAGGACTACAGAGATACTAAACATACATTAGGTAAAATTTTACCACCCACTAACAAACACTTCAGGTAGAACTACAGAGATACTTAACGTACATTAAGTAAAATTTTACCACCCACCAACAAACACTCCTCGTAGGACTACAGAGATACTAAACGTACATTAGGTAAAATTTTACCACCCACTAACAAAGGAAATCGAACATCACTTAAACCTTTTTCATGTTATATTCGGCTTATTTTGATTTTCAAACTTACTCCATCCTAAAAACGTATAGCGCAGAAAAGATCCTGAATCCGATAAATCTTGATGTTGTGCATGGGCAGAGTATGTCACCGTTGTATACAAATTAAAAGTTTCATTCATCAACCAGGAATAGGTCGAAAGTACGAAATAATGGATGAGAACAGCAAAGACCTCGCATACAACCTACAATACAAAACGATATAGAAGGATATTAATATATGTAAACACAAAATACCAATAATAAAAAGCATAACGAAGAAGAAGAATTCATCAATAACACCATTTCACAAACAGATTCTGACATTAAGCGGCGAAGGAGATTACAAAAAAAGAATTAATACGTTATGCCTGAACAACACTGCATACACGGAAATGTAGAGTTTGGAAACCTCGACGATGGTCACCTAAAATAGATTTTGTAACAATGGAGGTCAAGAATTTGAAAATAGCACTACGGTCATCTATAATATAGACAGTTACGGACAACAATACAAATATAAAACCATTCGAATTCATTACGCATGCTTGAGAGAAAAAATCAAGACATACCATAACACTTCGCTTGTTTTGGCGAGTGCGTATTGGACAAAAACACACAATTTGGCGCTTAGCGCCACCATATATAAATTTTATTAAATCATGGCTTATTCAAATGTCACTTGAGACTTAAATAGAAATAGCTTCTAGACGTTATTTTCTGTAGACACAATGTGTGTTTTGGGGAATATTTCAGTATCTGAATTTTACGTGTACAACAGAGAGAAAGGCATTTTGGATTAGTCATTGATATCATTCTTTTAATTAAACTTTATTTATTTTCAAACAGTTGCTTTCAAGTTTTTTTCAGTTTTTTGCCGGACAGATGACCCGATAGTTTTTCGCGTCTGTTACGGAAATCGAACTCAGGTCTGCGTTTACCATTTCTTATTAGGTTAAGCATTTATATATGCCTGAATTTTGCCTCTCCATAGTTTGTAAATTCCTAATGACACCTATAGAATTATCACGGACATAAATCAACTGCGCAGCTTTCATCTTTATACCAGTGTTGTCACTTACTAAAACAGGGGGACAATATAGATCAGATGTTGATACCAAATCAGGACAATATTTATTTAATTTCTGATAGAATTTTAACTTTACTATATCAGGCAGAAATATAAATGTGCTTTCTCAAACAACAAATCCTCTTTTTTAACTACACTATTTTTACCGTTGACATATCAAATTACAGAACTGAAAACGGATTTTGAAGTGTTTAAAACTCAGCCTTGATTAATCTATATCTCGATTACTTAAACAATTTTCGTTTTCCGAATCCATCACTTCCACACTCATTGGTGATCCATCACTTTACTCACCGTCGTTTGCAACGTCAAGGAATTTCATGAATCTCGTATAGTTGGTGATTTACTGAACATTCGCAAACATTGTCAATGTAAGATGGATACATTTTCTACGGTTGATTTTCCGAAGAGTTATCTATGATAGATCATCTGAGCTATCAACATGAATGACAGCCAAACTCTCCGTATTTAGTATCAACAGATTTCTTGTGCGACAAAAACTTAAATCAATATACAACACTTTCAATCCTTTCACACAGATATAACGTAGAACAATGTAATGAATTAGACCTGTAACTCAGACAAAGGATACGATATAAACAAACAACAACATAAACAGCTAATATACAACATTCTGTAAGGTACAGCCAAATCAGCAGAATCACAGGGATTCATTTCATTTTCAGCTCTTTTTCCTTTTGAATACTTCCCTTAATAGGTTTTAAAACAATTATAGCAATGTAATTTAATGTAATAGTTTGATTTAACTGCAGCTGGAAAACGAAGTATTGAATCGATACAATTGCTTATAAGTGGCCGCCTGGCGTCCTTCTGGAGGGGACGCTGTGCCGTAGGCAGCTTTTGGAGTCGTGTGTTTTGTACTTACTTGATTTTCGTATCGATCTATTCCTATCATGAATACGATCTGACTGAAGAAAATCGATAGGGCTAGATTTTTATGGAGCGAAGCTATGGCAGACGATGTTCTGAAAGGAAAAATAGCAAAATCTGTAACATTTGAAGAAAACTGCCACATAAGTATATCGAAGTAATAAGTACCAAGAGGCCTACTTCAGCTTATTTACACAAAAGATAACGTAGGGTAAGGTTATATGGCTGCGAGGCACTGCATGAGTCAAATTCAAAATTAGTTGAATGTGTCTGGAAAGACTTTATTTGACGGTGGTAAGGGTAGACCTTAGGTAGGCATGTTAAAGAAGTTCAAGCCATTCTCCGGTGAAATCTCGCATGCAACTAGTCTTGAAACATGAAATCAGGACTGAAAAATGGTATTGAATCGTATTGAATACTTTAGTCAATAATGAGTGAACGGCTAGATTCTCCGAAATGAAGAAACGTTTCTTTTAGAGCAATCGTCTTGGCTTTAGATTAATTAGAAAAGCAATGATGAATATGGTTTTTATAAATTACATGTATTACATTTGCAAGCAGGGAAATATCTGAACAACAAAATGATGCAAAAATACTTGTAACCCGTTCACAGTAGTCATCAGTGTTACGGGAGGGATATCTAACTTTAAAGACAAAGAAGGAAATTTGTCACGATACATTTCGAGAAAAACATACCCTTAACGTTCCTAAACCAAAACAAGAGTATCAGTAAAACTGATGAAAGCTCTCCGAAAGCAAATTTATTGACCAAAAACTTTTAACACACGACAATAAATCTGTAAGTAAGGGGCTGGTACACTGCACATTATAATTCCTTGATCAATGTTATTCATTTAATTAATGTAAACACCTTTTTACATTATCCTAGTTTATATCTCTAAATTTGTGCTCTGGAAAAGAAATGTAATCAAACGGCAATAATTCTGTGATTATGGGATTTTGGGTCCTGAATTCGGTGCGTAACACATTGCTTTAGTATAACCAGTGTATACACAGAGTTTCATAATCATTGCTTAAGTGTGGGCAAAGATATGCTCCGGACCAAAAAGAACGGACGGGCGGGAAAAGTGGCAACTATATGCTCCACCGAAAATTTCCTTGGAGCATAAAAAAGCAATACGAATTAACATATGCAAACAGGCTCAGATACATGACATTGATGTCTAAATATTCTTCAAAATGCTTATAAACCAGAATGTTGTCCTTTATCATGGTGAATACCGCATGTACTACTTCCTGAACTGTTCAATTCATATGAAATAATGAGATGTATTTTCTAAAAGACGCACAAGATGCCTGATGAAGACTTACTTGCAGTAGAGATGGATGGCTAAAGTGCCAAGGCACAAAAGGGCAGACAGTGCACAACCAATATAAGACGCCGCATTCATTAGTATTGGACGTTTTTCTCCTTTGTCCCACTGCAACATGAGGAATAGCAAAATGTGTCATATAGTAGACCTTACATAGTGTCTATCGACTGTTAATGTATTACTTAGTATTGTGATACCATATTTATTTGAGGATAAAAGAAACTAGAGACTGTTCCTATAGAGTGTAAAAAAGGGGTAAATACAGAAATTATCAGTATTGATTGACTTTTTAAAAAGAATCGTTTCGTTGCTCAGCCAGTTGTTTATCAACATATCGACCGGTCTACCTTAAAATATAAGTGATGTCACACTTACGTTATCGTTGTACATGTCTGTTGTGATAGCGTAGATACCAGGAATATAACAACCACATAGCGCTGATATTCCGTCCTGCCAAATCAGGTGACAGTCATCTCGTAGCCAGCGCCACTCAGCTGATCTGTAGCATCCAATTAACTTCTTGTAATGATTTAAAATAATGCATAAACTATCTGTCAGGATGGTTTATATGCCATATAGAGAATGTCTTTGTATTTAAATGCCACTAGTCAGATATTTGATGATTATGCGTACTTGTAGATATCTTGTATCATGAAAATTTCTTCCCGTGAATTAATTGATTCACAAAATAGAGTCACGAACTGCTAGCCAAAGGCCTGATAAACGGAGTTATCATTACTGGACAACGTTTGGCTTACTCGTTATTGTATGTTTCCATGTTTGACACATGAAGGCCGAATGACCAATATACATGTGACGTGGTTGCTACTCACATTGAACTATGCCTAATACGGACACATTCCGGGTTAGATATGTTGAAAGTCTGGAGAGAAAATAAAACTCAATTACATCAAACGATGATTATCATAGATTTTTCTATCGTACGCTTAAAATCATTTTAAAAATCAAAGGTTCTATTTTTTACTGATTTTGGTTATTTTGCGAAAAGTGCTACTTTTACTCATTTCCGTTATGTTCATGTGGTTCTACCTTTCTTATTTTTCGGTTATTTGCAAGGGGTTATATTTCTCACTATTTTCGAAGATTAAATAAAACTGCGATAAAAGATACATTGAAAACAACAGTGACCGAGAAAACCGAGGCCCGTTTTATAACTAGCTTGGAAGATGCAACCTTTGTTCTTCAAGTGCTTGGTGAAACCACGACAATCATAAAAAAAACTTATCATAACATCCATCAACGCCAACTAAAGACCATGTCTAGTCGTATTGATGAATTTCTCGATTTCTATGATAAACTCGATGAACTGGACAAAACTCGCATTGTCATACCGTATTCCTGTCCAACTTCCTCTCCCTATTCTCCACTCCTTATCATCCTCTCCCCATCGTTTTGTCCGTATCATCCATTCTCTTGCGTCTTGTTTTTATCATCCGCTCCCCGTCGCCTTCTCCCTATCGTCCTCCCCTATCATTTTCTATCTATTGTCCCAGCCCCCTTTGCATCCTTCCCCTATCTTCTCTATTATTCTCTTTCATTTATCATTTCCCGCTCGTCCTCTCCATATCGTTCTCCCTATTATCCTCTCACTATTGACCTCCCCTATCATCCTCTCCCTATCTTCTTTATCATTCTCTTTCATTCATCATCTACCGCTCGTCCTCTCCCTATTGCCATCCCCTTTGCACCCGCTCCCTATCTTCTCTATTATTCTCTTCCCATCATCATCTCCCTATCGTTCTCTCGTGCGTAATATCATACTAAAACATCATCTACCCCATACGCAAATCTGCTCGTTCTTCCGACACCCAATGTTCATTGGTAGCTAGCCAAGGGACACAGAGAGATATATACATATATTTCACCACGCACTAGGCAGCATCATATTAATTATACATTCAAACACGTCAAATAATATTGCGGTTATCACTTAGTACACCTGTGTGTGGTTTTATGGTGGACATCAAGGGACCTTGTATCAAGACATTATATAATAACAAACAGATACCTCTGAGATAAGGGACTCACATAAAACCGGCCCCCGTTTGCTTCAGTACAGAACAGTTGAGAATCAATCAATATTTACGTTTAGCTACAATCAATAGTGCTACATTTATTAGATCACGAGACCAACTCATACAACAGGTAGAAATAAGACAACGATCAGTCACATTCCGGACAAATAACACATTTATTACACATACACTATTTACATTTTATACATAAATCTCGAAGGACAATTTTATACATGAATCTCGAAGGACGATGTTTCGAACGCTATACAAATAAAGGGCATATTGAAGAAGGGTACAGCCACAGAGGGGCAATATACGGTAAACTAAAGTAACAAAATTGTGTGTTTATATACTTACGTCAAGGAACGGTAGTTTGAACACTATTGGAGATGATAGATTATTGACAAAGGATGCCTCTCCAGCGTAAACATAGAGGGCAATAATAGGAGTATTCACATTGTCCTCCTTACTCTTCCTGGAAAGTGAAACAACATCCTTATCACATGTACAGTTTACGTTCATACGAGCGTCATAGGACTATGTTATTTACGATAGAAAACTACCCATGACTACATCATCAGGATAGCATATAATAGACCCCAAATAGCCACAAAAACAGGCTTTTATCTACACCTTGTAGAAACGTAGGATAACTTACGTTAGAAGGTCGTGATTTGGCAGATACATGGCAAGATGTTTGAAGCGAAAACTGGCAGTCAAAATGAAGGCTGAAAATGTAGGATATGATGTCTGTATATAATAACATTAGACACACTTCTGATAAGTAAAGCATGAAATCATGAAATGATGATCTAGTTGCTATATGGCCAGAAACATCAGTTGTGTGAAAATTACGACATTTACTGAATTATGGGGGCTAGTGCACCTTCCATCTAGATTTTGACTTTGGATTTTAGACTATTTCGGATTTTCTTCAGTCGTCTCTTGGGATAAAAATCTAGGCCCTTAGGATCACTGACAAGCCATAGAAGAACGAAACAGCTATATGATGAAGTTTAATTCATTGTTTGGCGCTGCTGTGCCTTATTTATCAAAATGCTCCCTTCACCTGTGTGTCCTTTGTACAATCGTTAAGAGTCGTATCGTAGGTCACTTTATATCGCGAGAGGACTCAATACCCTCAATAATGGCATGTTGATATTGTAGTCAAATTCAAATTAAAATGTTTATACATAACATACCTAATGACACAAAAACCTAAATCATTGTATTACTTACCGGGTATGGTCGATGCATTTTGTGTCTTTAAAATATCAGGCAATCTTATCTCCCCGAGATTATTTGGTGTTTTCATCAATTTACGGTCAAGGCTAGATGGATAGGTATACCCTCGAAATAGCTTCGACACGTGCACATCAACTTTGAATTCTGGATTAAAAAGATGATTATACTGTAGAAATATATCTAAAAACGCATAAATTGGCGGTACACATGTAAGTAATTTTATTTTCAATTTAACTATTATTTGCTATTTCATTCTATCTCCGAACATCATTTTTTCAAATACCCTTGAAAATACCAGCATTTTCATAATTATCTTTACTTAATTATGACGTCATTTCGATTGATACAATAGTAAGACAGAAAACATGTTATTTGTAGCTCATCATCAATGTTAAGTATGAGAAATGAAATTAATATATCCGCACACTTTATAATAAAAATGAATTCCATACCGATGTTGCCTTTGGCTTCGAAAATAGACGCATCATTGACATCGACGGTTCCTATATGTATGTTATACTGAATCGTCTTGGCAACGGTCCGGGCGAAGGCTTCCAGAGCACTGAGTAAATTGTCCCCTTCGACACCGGCCGGTTTTGTAGCGTTCCATCCCACATCGTTTCTCCGTGACAACAGATTGTCCACCGTCCGAATTATCACCTGAAAGACATTATCAAACAGATCCATATCGTTTCCTGTTATATAGATTAACTAATAAAATACATGTACTGTTACATGACTGTTTTGTCTGTAAGCTAAGTGTTATTGTTAAATAACTCTGATTTGTCTGTAAGCTAAGTGTTATTGTTACATGGCTCTGATTTGTCTGTAAGCTAAGTGTTATTGTTACATGGCTCTGATTTGTCTGTAAGCTAAGTGTTATTGTTACATGGCTCTGATTTGTCTGTAAGCTTTGTGTTATTGTTACATGACTGTTTTGTCTGTAAGCTAAGTGTTATTGTTAAATAACTCTGATTTGTCTGTAAGCTTTGTGTTATTGTTACATGACTGTTTTGTCTGTAAGCTAAGTGTTATTGTTAAATAACTCTGATTTGTCTGTAAGCTAAGTGTTATTGTTACATGGCTCTGATTTGTCTGTAAGCTAAGTGTTATTGTTACATGGCTCTGATTTGTCTGTAAGCTTTGTGTTATTGTTACATGACTGTTTTGTCTGTAAGCTAAGTGTTATTGTTACATGGCTCTGATTTGTCTGTAAGCTTTGTGTTATTGTTACATGACTGTTTTGTCTGTAAGCTAAGTGTTATTATTAAATGACTCTGTTTTGTCTGTAAGCTTTGTGTTATTATTAAATGGCTCTGTTTTGTCTGTAAGCTTTGTGTTATTATTAAATGGCTCTGTTTTGTCTGTAAGCTTTGTGTTATTATTAAATGACTCTGTTTTGTCTGTAAGCTTAGTGTTATTATTAAATGACTCTGTTTTGTCTGTAAGCTTTGTGTTATTATTAAATGGCTCTGATTTGTCTGTAAGCTTTGTGTTATTATTAAATGACTCTGTTTTGTCTGTAAGCTTTGTGATATTGCTACATGACACTGATCTGTCTGTAAGCTTTGTGTTATTGTTAAATGACTCTTTTGTCTGTAAGCTTACTGATATTGTTTCATGACACTGCCTTGTCGATAAGCTAAATGCTTATGTTACACAAAAAATTATAAACAACATGTGAGAGATTCAATGCTTATCTACCAGCTCATCATACGTATCGAACGGGAAATCATTGGACATTTCGTATAAAACTTGTACCAAAGATCTACATACCAGAAAACGTAACCTGTAGATTTATCGCGCTGTCACTACTTTGCCAGGATGAAATCATAAGTTTAGTTATATTAAATAACAAATTCAGCAATGAATAATGCATTTTCCGAGAAAGGCTTAAAATACTCTAACGTCTGAATCAATTACAGTTTCACTTCGAACTTCATAATCAAAGAAGAGTCAACCAATAAAAAGGTTTTAATTAGGAAGTTAAATCAGGTAATGACATAAATTTTTTTAAAAAATAGATAAGACTGTTAGTGACCCAACCTCCTACGTGGTTTGGTTAGAAGGCCTACTGTTAGCTATGGTAGAAGCTAACTGTGTTAGACCGTCTTCGCTGTAAATCAAATCATGTTCAAAGAAAATGTGTTGTTTTAAATGCATGCGTTGCGTTCCACACAGCGACTGTAAATAGTTGTATAATCATATAATAGTATTGATTTCCACTAAAATAGCTTTTAGTATGTATACAATGTATTTGTTTTCCGCATGAACCTATCCTATTTAATGCATGACTACACGAACTTATTTGTATTTACATAAACAACACCTCCACCACACATGCCTGATTTACACGGGAACCCATGTTGACTACGATACAACGTTTTGCTGGAATAGTAAATATTTCACAAGATTACAGTGGTTATCTGAGAAAGGAACTTTGTGTTTTACAGTAGTTATCAGTCCAGCATAATACGGCTAATGTGGTGGACACTGATTGTATCGGGCTTTTATAGCGGGGGAAATAATAGAAAGTCAAGTCACTACATGAACACTTCATAGGCTAAAAACACAAAATATTACACCACAGAGGGTTTGATGGGGTGACATTAATTAATGGTTACTGGGGCACTGTGGGAGGAATTCTATCCTTGAAAGGTAACTTGCAGTGAAAAATGAAAAAAACTTCATTTTGGAAAAGTTGAAGTGTTATCATGTATAGGCTGACGATACTTAGAGAAAAACTGGTGCGAAAAGATGGAAACCATAGTCCCTCTTCTATTGTACACTCATACGAGATCATTGCAGGATTAAATCTTATATAACAGATGCTGATTTACTTGTTAACGTGACGTCAGTGAATTGTTACTGTGACGTCATATCATTGTCCTGACAGGGAATTCCCCCGTCTATATTACGGTGAGACTAATAAAATCTGTTACCTACAGGATCGTAGCCCTCGACTGAGATACCCCGATCTCGCTCAGTTACAGGTAATAGAGTTTGTGGGCCCGCCTACTACTATAAAAATCATTCAATATTTCATCAGAGTTTTTGTGTACCCCGTGGGAGCCTCAAACTACCCACACAGTCTCTTCATTTTTAAACAACGTTTGCAGCGTAAACAATGTAGGCCGCACTTACAAAAAATACAACACATTTTACAGTGAAGATCTTATTTTAGCTATAACACCTGGAATCTTAACAACTTAAAACATACACTAAACAGATCATATAAAGCAGATAGTAAATTTTGAAACGATTTCTAAATGTATACGCCTACACGCGGATGAATAAGCCGATGCGTAATAAAAAAACCGCTAGGGTACTAGACAGATCGGGCGAGATAGAAAAATCTAGGATGGGGTATCACGTGATTCGGGAAGACATTGGATTTTCAAGAATCGTAACTGATTCAATGAAACAATGTGTTATCAGGTATAACTACTTATCCGCAGAGAAAATGGGTACTGGACTTCTGACTCCGAAGACAACGAGGCAATTACTAATTACGCTCTTAATTGGACAATTGATTTTTGGAGGACTGCTGCTTATTGAGGATGACAGAGTAGTTCACCTGTAAGGCACAACACTTTCTTACATCGATTACTTGATTCAGTATTGCAGCGTATTCAAAGTACTCGTACTTGTGCCATGTACTTATGTATATCTCAAGGCAAAACGGTTTGACGCAGTTCTTACACGTGTAGAATGAAATCCTTCATCAAGACAACAAAAAACATCTAGTAATATAGTATTGGTGTACAGACACAAAAAACCTACCTCTGTGAAGTTTTTAGTTTCTTCCTTTGTTCTAACAACATTTACAGTTTGGGCATAAACATTTCGTCCTTCTCTCCATTTCTTCTCTTGGAGGATAGAAACCTGAAAAAAAGTAAATTTACATAAACAACGTCACCCTATAAATGAATGTGCTTGACGCGTTGTTGATAAAATCATTTAAAGATGGGTAAAAATAGCAAAATATTCATAGCAAACAAAACACTGGCGCACCTTTCAGTAATATGATTATAAAACATAGCTGATCATGTAATGGGTGGTCAGGTGTTACATGTAGTTCAATTTCTCCTCCATCCTTATGAGTTTGGTTCATGTAGATAATGTTAAATTATTTTAAAGCAATATACCTTAGACACCGAAATCTGGAATGAAACACGGCTCTGAGATAAAAGTAACTTGTTCAAATAAATAAGTGTGTTATGACTAAATTACAACAATAAGACGTAACTTCTTCACGCGACGCTTTACACCTACCGGGATTTTATAATGGGTTATCGAGTGAGACACTGTATTGATCACACAACCTTACCTCGTAACGCTGTAACAACTGAATCTAGATGACCTACGAACTATTCCTCTTTCGAACTGTTCTTGTTCTACCTCTCCTTATGACTATTGTCCATCGCGGCACCTATTTAGCAACTGGCAACCTAAGCATTATCCAAAACTTTAAACTACAGAATGTCAGACCGTTTTTCATGCAAGGTCCAAAATATCGCGAATCCCCTTCCATTAATTAGAATGTGAATTTTCAAGATACTTATGGATTCCGTGGAAAACTATGCCAGAATGGGTTAAACATGCAGCGTTAGATTTAATTTCACAGCGGACTAAATCTACTCGGTCTATCATTGTTAAAAGAATACGCTAAATCGTAAACAATTCAAGTCTGTATACCTTGTGTAAAAACAACACTTCATTACTATATATTAGGTATGTTGTTGTACCTGTAAACAAGGCACTTATAACTTTATCCTTGTCCACAGACATAATTATATTCCCTTCATTCAAATATAGCATTAACCAATCTTTCCAAAGAAATAAGAATGGCGGATCACGTTGTAAATGTCACGTGATACCTTACCCCGTCCTGAGTGTCCACTACGAGATCCAGTAGGGTAGGTCTATGACCGTAGCCACGTCTATGGGGTTGGTGTATCTATCACTATGAGATCCAGTAGGTATATGACCGTAGCCACGTCTATGGGGTTGGTGTATCTCGTCCTGAGTGTCCACTATGAGATCCAGTAGGGTAGGTCTATGACCGTAGCCACGTCTATATTGTTGGTGTACCTATCACGTGATACCTTACCTCGTCCTAATTGTCCACTATGAGATCCAGTAGGTATATGACCGTAGCCACGTCTATGGGGTTGGTGTATCTATCACGTGATACTTTACTTCGTCCTGAGTGTCCACTATGAGATCCAGTAGGGTAGGTCTATGACCGTAGCCACGTCTATAGGGTTGGTGTACCTATCACGTGATACCTTACCTCGTCCTGAATGTCCACTACGAGATCCAGTAGGTCTATGACCGTAGTCACCGTCTATAGGGTTGGTGTACCTATCACGTGATACCTTACCTCATCCTGAGTGTCCACTATGAGATCCAGTAGGGTAGGTCTATGACCGTAGCCACGTCTATGGGGTTGGTGTATCTATCACGTGATACTTTACTTCGTCCTGAGTGTCCACTATGAGATCCAGTAGGTCTATGACCGTAGCCACGTCTATAGGGTTGGTGTACCTATCACGTGATACCTTACCTCATCCTGAATGTCCACTACGAGATCCAGTAGGTCTATGACCGTAGTCACCGTCTATAGGGTTGGTGTACCTATCACGTGATACCTTACCTCATCCTGAGTGTCCACTATGAGATCCAGTAGGTCTATGACTGTAGCCACGTCTATAGGGTTGGTATACACGTTGTTAATTGTGTGGTTTAACAACAATTCGGCAAGATAGAAGACTACGCTCTCATTTATATCTGGTCCTTTAAAAGCCCTCTTAACCTGCCAAGTAAGCAAAAAATATAAATGTATTCTGAAATTCTTGTTTGATGCACTGCAATACGTATCCAATATATTGCCAGATCGATGCGTATGGCTCTGCCTAATTGATCCAATGTATTGATTTTGTTGATGGAACAGCTGCTTCTGAGCATTTCGTCATTTTTTTATTGTACATTAATGTCACACGTCGGTATTTAGTTCTATATATATGTGACAAGCAATTAATGTACCAAACGCAAAATTTAGTCTTCAAACAAATTATACTAGGGAAAGTTTTTGGCCTGTTTGTGATTACGTAAAAGCACAACGTCCGTTTACATGAACTATTCAGCAAACAGATTTTATGCATGAAAACGTCAGGGGGGTTTCGGGACATCAACCACTAGGCGATGATAACTACATCCACGATGGTGTAAAATGCCGATGTCAGCTAGCGATCCCCTTTATTATAGTTGTAATGAGCTCATTACGCACCCTATGAACGACTTTTCATCCGAATCAACCTGACATAAAACTTGAAACAATCGATACTGTTGAAATTGGGGACAGCATTTTAAATTGGCATTGGAAAATTGGATTGAACTACACCGCAATGACGCGCATCATGTATTCATGACAACTAATACCAGTGCAATGCCCCTCTGGAAGCTGCGGCAGACTGAGGACAGCATTGTAGCACCATTTCGTCGTTTGAATTGTCAGCAGACTCACTTTGTCCTTGATTTCCATCAGGTCCTCTGAGATACACTTGTCTATGAAAGGCCTTCCCCAAATCCCGTCATTCTGTGGGGTCTGTTCACAAAGTCTTGTGGCGTTCTCTGTACAAACACATACACCGGTATTATATTCACACTCTGATTCTGGCAGATATATCTGTTGTGCCTGTATTTTACTTACAATGTACCAATATGATCGCGTCATAAAATTTTCATTTTAATCAGCTAGAGGCGTTCTTCTACTACTTTCATTTTCTACAGAGGTTCATTTCGAGGACGTCAATGACGGCTCTTTGAATTGTATTTAGAGTGCAATGATTTAAAAGACGTGATCATGACGCCTAAATGTCCGGCAGTACATATCACCTTCAAAACCAAATTATAATTTTACTCCTGCTTGTAAAAATTATACTTTAGTTTATCAAAGTTATCTCGGGAGTGTGTGAATTCCCAATACATCCAATGGGGAATTAGTGCAATGAAAAACCTCTTCTGTTGTTTACTGGAAAAAAATTCAAACAAGCATTAGTCATAAAGGAGATACTTAGACGACGTATCAAAGTTACCGATAGTCTCGTTCAGTGTGCGTTTGACAGGAAAGCAACGTATCGAGTTTACCAATAGTTTCGTTCAATGTGTGGTAGACAGGAAAGCGACGTATTAAATTCACCAATAGTTTCGTTCAATCTGCGGTAGACAGGAAAGCGACGTATTAAATTTACCGATAGTTTCGTTCAGTGTGTGGTAGACAGGAAAGCGACGTATTAAATTTACCGATAGTTTCGTTCAGTCTGCGGAAAACAGGAAAGCGACGTATCAGATTTACCGATAGTTTCGTTCAGTCTGCGGTAGACAGGAAAACGACGTATTAAATTTACCATAGGAAAGCGACGTATCAAATTTACCGATAGTTTCGTTCAATGTGCGGTAAATAGCAAGGCGACGTATTAAATTTACCGATAGTTTCGTTCAATGTGCGGTAAATAGCAAGGCGACGTATTAAATTTACCGATAGTTTCGTTCAATGTGCGGTAAATAGCAACGCGACGTATTAAATTTACCGATAGTTTCGTTCAATGTGCGGTAGACAGGAAAGCGACGTATAAAAAGGATTATTCCACCTATGGTAGTTCGCCAGGTGACATATCAAACCTACCTACAGTTTCGTTCATGGCCTCCAGATTCGTCTGACCAGGACATGATACGTTGAGATAATTGACAGCTTTCGTCCTCTCCCAAACTATATTTTCAACGATATCCTTATTGCATTGCGCACCTGGAGATGAAAAAAAAATCATCAATTTTCAACAGTAGTAAATCTACATAGAATAAAACAAATGACAATTTAGACACACGTTATACACTGCACTACATACATACCCCTTCTGAAACACGACCAGATTACGAAGGACGGCTAAGATAAAGACACGGTGCACACTATGAATGTAGTATTTACCTATAGTCAAACTGTAGTGTTTGTTGAACAAATGTAGTATTTACCCATAGTCAGACTGTAGTGTTTGTTGAACAAATGTAGTATTTACCTATAGTCAGACTGCGGTGTTTGTTGAACAAATGTATTATTTACCTATAGTTAGACTGCAGTGTTTGTTGCATGTGACTGCCTCCTCTTCAGCCGTCTTACATTTCTCTTCTGGAAAATAAAGAGACATTTACGATATTTTACCCTATTACTGTCATATTTGTTGATGTTATGATATTCATGTCTACATAAATGTAGACTTTAAATTATCTCCATCCCTGGGATCATTATGCATTAGTCATGGTGTATAGTCATAACAATGATCGTGTTACCTCGTCAGCATGTACTATACATGTTCAATTCTTTATATTCTAGTGTCTGTATTGTGTAGATTTGTTGATTGAACTTTGCTAATCTGATTAGACATTTATCGAATTCAAAAATAAACTCTAAAGATAACATCAGCAAAGAAAAGAAAGCATTGCAAAATAGCCTGGTGTTCTTACTACAATGTGAAACTATCTCCCACAAATCCATCCATCGTCATTCTACCCATTCTTCCCCTGAATTCCACGACTTCAAATTATCTCAGATCTGATAGTGGAAGTTTACAACGTCGTAAGACCGCGCGTTGCAGTCTGTAGGCCCCGAACAGTCCAGTCACGTGTCTACCGTCGTGTAACGTTGGTGTCAACATCCAACCGAGTATCTGATGGCGACTGCAGAAACGCCGCCAATAATCGCTCAATAATACGTACGTATTGATTCTTAACCATCGATAATTCAATAAACACTCCAAAGCGATAGCACAGACTGGCGTTACGGGCAAGATAAGGTGTACCAGTGATTGGCTGGGAGAAAACAGTCTCATCTTAATGATCATGTTACAGACACGACACAAAGATTACCAAGTATTGGGGAAGAAGGAATGATTTTTCGAGACATCAGCAACAGAATGAAAACATAAAACGAAATGCTATCGCGTCTGTTGCCGGCCAATCTACAAGAAGTAACAAGCTTTGCAACTGGTAATGTTCTTTGAAATATCTTCCAACTAAAATCTTAGAGATTGAAGAGGTACATGTGTGGTCGGGGTGCGCAATGGTAGCACATTCGTCTTTCACCTACGGGTGCGGGGTTCGATTCCCGGCACGGACATGATAAGGTAGCGGGTTACCTGCCCGACCACGTGGGTTTTCTTCGGGTACTTGGTTTCTTCTCACAGCCCTCGCACGCTTCTATACAGTTCAACCGGAGTAATTATTATTAGCTGAAAGCTTGTTTCGCAATTGTAAAATAAATAAAGTTTATATTCAAATATGTGAAAAACTCAAGTTTGGTGCAATTATAGAAGAATTACAAGTATATTACTACAGGCCGTCACGACTGGGTTACTACCTGTAGATAAAAGATTGCTATAAATTAGAACTAAGACTCGCCAGCAGCGTACCAAACAGTAAACAGAGAGTTCTGCAACATTACGAGAGAACAATAAACAGAGAGCCCCGCGACATTAAGAGAGAACAGTAAACAGAGCTCCGCGACATTAAGAGAGAACAGTAAACAGAGCTCCGCGACATTAAGAGAGAATAGTAAACAGAGAGTTCCGCGACATTAAGAGAGAATAGTAAACAGAGAGTTCTGCGACATTAAGAGAGAACAGTAAACAGAGAGTTCTGCGACATTAAGAGAGAATAGTAAACAGAGAGCCCGCGACATTACGAGAGAACAGTAAACAGAGAGTTCTGCGACATTACGAGAGAACATTAAACAGAGAGCCCGCGACATTAAGAGAGAACAGTAAACAGAGAGTTCCGCGACATTAAGAGAATAGTAAACAGAGAGTTCCGCGACATTAAGAGAGAACAGTAAACAGAGAGTTCTGCGACATTAAGAGAGAATAGTAAACAGAGAGTTCTGCGACATTAAGAGAGAATAGTAAACAGAGAGTTCTGCGACATTAAGAGAGAATAGTAAACAGAGAGCCCGCGACATTAAGAGAGAATAGTAAACAGAGAGCCCGCGACATTAAGAGAGAACAGTAAACAGAGAGTTCCACGACATTAAGAGAGAACAGTAAACAGAGAGTTCCGCGACATTAAGAGAGAATAGTAAACAAAGCTCCGCGACATTACGAGAGAACGAGAGAGTTCCGCGACATTAAGAGAGAAACAGAGAGAGAGTTCCGCGACATTAAGAGAGAATAGTAAACAGAGAGAACATTAAGAGAGAACAGTAAACAGAGAGTTCTGAGAGAATAGTAAACAGACATTAAGAGAGAACAGTAAACAGAGAGTTCCACGACATTAAGAGAGAATAGTAAACAGAGAGTTCTGCGACATTAAGAGAGAATAGTAAACAGAGAGTTCTGCGACATTAAGAGAGAATAGTACTGCGACATTAAGAGAGAACGGTAAACAGAGAGCTCTGCGACATTAAGAGAGAACGGTAAACAGAGAGTTCTGCGACATTAAGAGAGAACAGTAAACAGAGAGTTCTGCGACATTAAGAGAGAACAGTAAACAGAGAGCCCGCGACATTAAGAGAGAACGGTAAACAGAGAGTTCTGCGACATTAAGAGAGAACGGTAAACAGAGAGTTCTGCGACATTAAGAGAGAACAGTAAACAGAGAGTTCTGCGACATTAAGAGAGAATAGTAAACAGAGAGTTCTGCGACATTAAGAGAGAACAGTAAACAGAGAGTTCTGCGACATTAAGAGAGAATAGTAAACAGAGAGTTCTGCGACATTAAGAGAGAATAGTAAACAGAGAGTTCTGCGACATTAAGAGAGAACGGTAAACAGAGAGTTCTGCGACATTAAGAGAGAACGGTAAACAGAGAGTTCTGCGACATTACGAACGAACAGTATAGATATCAAAATAGTAGCATCGGCATGAAAACTCGAGATAAAAGATACATCACAGATATTGACATGTTTATAAAATGTTACATAATCCTAGACCGTGAAAAGTATAAGCTTCCGGAACAATAGTTACACTACAGTAATAATATAAAGGGAGGAACGAATGAAACACCGACCATCCTTCAGACTGCCTGTTGTATTAGAGTGCAAGCAGGACGAGAATGTCCTGACAATTTGACATCAGACTTTACATTTTCATCCATTCACCGAATAGCGACCTGTCGACAACACTCAATTATTTGCATTCTTTTGCTTGATAAAGGAAACCGGCATTTTAAAAAAAACTCTCACTTACAATCTATAAAATACCTATATCAAACTGATAAATCTCATTCGAGTTCAATTTCGTTTTCACATCTGTTTGTGTAAGTTTGAATCAGTGTAGTTTAAGTGCAGACAAGTCACAACTGGTGTTTTACATGTATTACACAGAACAACATGTTCAAGTCAGATTTCCTCCCATTTTCCGATTTCTAGCGGCAGTTTTTATATTTAAAATTGTTGACTTAATAATCATTGCTTTGAAGAGCTTTTATTTTGAATTACACTATGTTCAAATAAACAAACTGCATAGTCTTATATAGTTGTGCCTTTAAATAGGTCTTTTAATGTGATACGTCCAAACATCACTTAAAATGGGGTGATTATCCCCTATTCATCAGTTCACGTACAGATATTTACATTTCCGGTGTGTATTCTTTATTTCGCCTTACGATAAAATTTGATGTTTACACTTCGGTAAACGTCAAGTGATAGAAAGTTAGTGTGAATCCGATAGCAATCAAACAGTATGTGAACTAAAATGTAAATATTCAAAACATCTCTTTAAAATAAAAAATGTGTTATTCTAGAACTATTTTCTTTTTACTTAGTGTTGCTGACAACCATTCTTGCCAAATTGGAAACATTCCGTCATTGTGTCACATGATAACGTCCAATTAATGGCGAAAAAGCGTTTTCTTCAGCATTGTAAATAAAACAAACTGTCGAAATGTAGATATGATAAGTAATAGTTCATAATTGACAATTATACATCACTTAAAGCAACATTATCTTATAATGTTGTCCAAGCTGGCCTACTGATGCTACCAAACATCACTCCAGTGTTATCTTGGGAGTTATTGTCCACTGTTAAGAAGTTTGTTCCAGACAAGCTGGTTTTCTGATACTACCAAACATCACTGTGGTGTTATCTTGAGTGATGTTGTCCAGTTTTAAGAAGGTGGTACCAGACAAGCTGCCCTACTGGTACTACCAAATTCCTTAATATAACAGAACTTTGTCCTTGTTTTTTTACACACCATGAAATACATCACTATTTTTCTCGCCTTTTTCGCTTTTTTTCAAAAATCTGAATTAAGAAACTTAAATTCTCATACTTTATGAGACCTTCTTGCTAGTCTTCGTGACAGTCAGGACATTGCACTGTTTACATCATGGCACCTTTCGAACTTGATCTTGGTTATTACGAGCCAGGGACTGGATATGGGTGTTTGTTTAGCATTGACGAGTGGTTGTTGGTTGATGTGATCACAAGCTACACATATATAGTTCTAGAATTTATATATCGCGTATAAGAATGGCTTAAAATGCATCGTTTTTGTTTATATGACTTGCACGAATGGTTCTGAGAGTTTGGATGTTCTCACGAGGTTGATTTGAATTTTGATGACGTCATCTTGATTGTGACCCCAGAATGCCCTCGAGGAAACACCACATCTCTTGATTCCAGGACTTCAGATTTTTCTATGTTAAAATTATATTGATTATTTTAATCAATCTTTAGCGATATACAGAATTTAACCATTCATACTGGTTATCAGAGCGAAAATCGATGCGATACCAGCTTGCGATGTCCTGCAGTCAGTTTTTGACGTGATGTAAGTGAGTGGTGAGAATCAGCACAGACTCACTTCTCTGACTTTATCATAAAATAGTTTGTTAGTTGAAAGGTCGCCAGCAAAATGTTTCTTAAATATTCTCTAAGTGGTAAACACAAAACTTGCAAAACGCTCGGCAATTTCTGTTAAAATAAGTTTCTTAGTCTTCAAAAGACCTGATTTACAATTAGTCAATCCTTCTGTTTGGGGCAATTCATCTAATCCGTTTTATTTCACATAGAGAAGATGAATGAACTTAAACCCGACCGACAATATGATAAATCAAATATAAGTAAAACGGACGGTGTGGGCGATTTATTTCTTCATTATTCTTTTTACTTTTTATTTGCATTCCGCTTTGTTTATTTAAATTTTATACATTTACTTAAGTAGGGTGCACTTGTTTCATCACATGTAGGTAAAACCTCAAAACATTCATTATATACGGTTATTTGAAATAAATTCTGAAACAATCTTGACATCTTGTTACAATTTTGTAACATTCTAGAGTAGTGTTTCGTCGTTTACACAGTCGGTGCAATGTCGATATCTCACCCATGCTTACAGAAAGTTGTGTGGCTATAGCCTCGAGGTGCCACGAGTCTAAAAATGGAGACATGATATTATAAGAAAAAAAATTACAGAGCATTCCAAAATTACTACGTGGACCTACCTTACACCAACACATATTAACGAAAGTTGTAAAACAATTGATTTAGATGTGAATCTATATTGAGTTTTAGAAAATGAAAAAATATACATAAAAAAGTTGGCACTACCATAAAAAGTTTCAATAAAATCCCTGATTTAAAAAACGTCATGCAAACCAGCTAGAATCTACGGATGACCTTTCGTGACCAGTAGAGGCTACGAAACCAATCATTATGGCTGCATATGGATTCTTGAACCTGTACGTGACGGGGAACTTTAAACTTTCCTTGCCGTACCTCTATGTTGCATGGACATCGGTAAGAATTAGTATGTAAAAAAATTCAAATTTTACAACAACAAGATAAAAAGACAACAAGGAAAATAAGTTTAAACGTTTGACTATTATAAATGCTTCACAACAATAACAGGGACTTGAGTTGCGTGTGTGGCGACTCCAGCTGCCTTGTAATGATCATTACCTGGCAGCGCAAAACTACACCACACGTGCATGTTAACTAGTGAACAATCGTAAAAAGGCGTAGAAAATTATAAAAAAAAAAGAGAGAGAGAGAGGAAAACATAGAACATACTCTGTAGGGTTGTTAATATCCCACCTGCAATAGAATAGGAGGACGGCTTCAATGAATTTCGCTTATACTTTTACACAATTGAGACACAAAAGTCACAATGATCACAAGTGATTTTCAACCGATGCTTGAAAAATGTTCAGAATACCTTATTTCCAAACCAACGAGAACGATGAGACGTAGACAGTATTGGATTAATTACACAAATGACGGGATTTGTGGTGTTCAAAACAATGGAGACGGTTTACAAACATGACGCCATCACATGATATCATAATCTTCGACCTTCTGCAAAATATGTGGTGAACTAGATAATGAACAACATGTACATCAGATCAGTATGTGTAACGTGAATTGGTGAAATGTAAGCAATTACAGGGTGATATCTGTGTTGAACTGTATAATAAAGTGTTCATTGTTTGTGCAAGTTACCCCTAAACTACATTGTGTGTGTGTGTGTGTTAAGTTTAAAGAAAATATTCAACACTTATGTAATGGATTGTTTTTACATGGTGTTCACCCGGAACAGGTCTATAAGTTTATAAATTACTTCCGTTTCACATGTAACTTACTTAGGATACCGGAAGGCCATCTCATGCGCATGGCACCTCGAGTTCCACTCCGGAAGTCTGCCCACTGAGCGACATTTCCACAATACATGAACGTACATGAGGTGTTTAGCCAGACGATATCATCGTGACTCATGACAAAATCCCACACGTGGAGATGAGCCAGGTCACCCATGAATGCAACACTTGAGTCGAAATCAAAGGCTTCCCGGGACGCCTGGCCCAGTACAAACTCTCCTCCCCCGGGTACGAACTTCCGGAAAGCGTTCCTTCGGCCGCTGTTTACCTCTTCGGTATTCCAATACAGTTTCCATGAACCATCTGAAATAGAAATTAAACAACAAGTAAGTAAGAATTTAACTTATCTTATACGTTACATTTGCATATCTAATTATAATATTATATTACCCCTAAATCTAATGTCATATCTCAGTCAATGGTGTCTTTTGTATGTCATTACTGTCATAATATTTCATTGTCAGTCTTGTATTATGAAATGAACGGCACGGTACCGGTATTGGTAGATTTGTAAATTCATTGTAACGCACGTTAAACATTTGAATTCAGAAATGTGCCGATAAACTAAAAAGTGCACCTTTCTTGTTCCATGTCCAAGCTACATGGGCCCACTCGCCGGCCGGAAGAATGATCTTGGTGTATTTCACTCGGTCAAACAGCCGAAACCAGAGTCTGTGGTCGACTCCCATCTGAATAATATCAAGAGTGGTTCCCTGTTTGTAGGAGAGAATTGTGCCATTTTTGGAAGCAGAATGATTCTTGCTCAGTCGAATCCAATACACTATGGTAAATGCCTCTACCCTCGGAAATCCTTTCCCTAGCAGCAACGTGTACCGCTTCGGCTCCTTCTCCTTAAACTCCAACCGGGAGTCTATGGCGGTGGCTGCAAATACATACACATATTTACAGTAAGTTCGCAGCGAGTCCACATATCACACGTACACTAATTCCAAAGATGAATCCACAAAATATATAGACAGTAAAACAAACACCGTCTGTTGTTAGTGGGTTCTCTAAGTGTTAGACTCGTTCTGACAGACTATCATGGCCTTATGTCGACAATAACAATGTGACACATCCATCTATACTTACACATGCACTGCTCCGTGTTCCAATGAAAGCCGGACCCACACTCGCAGCCATACCCGTCCGGATGGTCTATGCATTCGGGATTGTTATAGTAGGAACTGTGACAGGCCGACGCAAAATCTGTGGCTGAGAAGACAAAACTTATCACGGTAAGTGGCAAACCAAACAAATGTGTGTCATTGTGTACAGAAAAATACCAGAAGTTGTATGACGTTCAGTACAGATAAAAATAGGTATACCATGAACAATATGTATGACGTTCTGTACAGACAACAAATATGATTACCACGAACAATTTTATGACGTTCTGTACAGACAACCAATATTTGATTACCACGAACAATTTGTATGGCATTCTGAACAGACAACAACTATGGTTACCACGAACAATTTGTATGGCGTTCTGTACAGACAATCAATATTTGATTACCAAGAACAATTTGTATGACGTTTAGTACAGACAACAAATATGATTACCACGAACAATTTGTATGATGTTCAGTACAGACAACAAATATGATTACCACGAACAATTTGGCGTTCTGTACAGACAATCAATATTTGATTACCACGAACAATTTGTATGACGTTTAGTACAGACAACAAATACGATTTCCACGAACAATTTCATATATCGATTTGTACGCACAAACATCGTTTATGCCACGAAACGGATTGTTTAAACATTTGTCCAGACAAACGATATGAATTATATGTAATATTTTGTATAAAGATTTATACCGTGTGATGTATGTGTATACTTACCGGCGGTGACGCCATGTTTGCTCACACAGGACAATCCAAATAGAGAAATAAATGCGATGCTTAGTCCAACTCCACAGATTTTTTCCGCCACTCCCTCAAAGTAACCGGCTTTCCGTCCATAGGACATTGCACCATTCTTCGTCGTCGTCTTCGTCGTCGTCGTCGTCGTCGTCGTCGTAACTGAGAGTTGGTGTTGGCTAAAATTGTCGGGTGTTTATCTGGGGAAGAGAGTGGCGTGTGAGAGATTAGAAACTATATTGATCCCCCTCCGTTCCGAGGACCTACCGTCTTACCGTCTGTTCGTCAGCTCTTACGTACGCCAATCTCCCTGCGTACAGCAGTTATTACCTTTGTGAAGCCCCGGGCTTACGACTATCAGAATGAATATTATATCATACAGAGATTTGTATGTTCTAGCTACGGCTCCAGACACCAAAGACACAGGGCGGTTCCAGACAAAGTGCCTCGACTGACGAGCGTCAATTCGCCAGCATTGAGTGTATCTCCGTTAGTATGTCTGACGGTCATTTACGGCGCTAACCACCTATTACATGTCAATGTTCCGCCGACCAATTTACACTTAGTATTCATTATCGTCACAGACGTATTCTAGCTTCTGAGAAACACAAATTGTATGGTGATAGAAAGAAAATCAGTCTTGTTCCACTGCAGCACCACATCCATATACCGTACTCAACTACACACCGCACTCTCACTACAACACCGTACTCTCATAACCACACACCGTACTCTCACAACCACGGACCGCACTCTCATAACCACAAACCGTATTTTGTAACCACATACCGTATCTCACAACCATATACCGTTCTCTCATGACCGCATACCGTATAGTTTATTTTAGTAGGAAATCTGTGTGGCAAACCCATGTGGATGCTTTTTTTATTTTAACTCAATAAATTCGCAAGAAACGGTTATTTCATTTCATCAAGTTCAAAGAAATTATGTTTAAATGCTTACTAACAACTAAGCGGGTTCACTTTGATAATTGTACATCTATAAGAAATCAAGCAATTTGATAACTTGTGATCAACTCCTTGATAAACGGAAATGTTAAAAATTCAACAGTCATCCGGAAAACCGAGGAAAACAGGTTCTTCAAAAAGTATCAATAACAGACAAGTAACAAAGTGATACTAGCTCGGAAACCTAATTAACGATATACGGCTCTTTATCGTCTTTTGTCATAAAACAAACACTGACCGGAGTACACGGCGCCGGACTAATTCTTCTCGGGTCAGATCTCAACATTCATCATAGGGTATCATCAGTAAATTCATTACGGAGAATGGTGAGGTCTCGTGCTGCCTACACTTCATAGCTACTCGGTGCATACAAGTATTGTGTTAACATACAAGTGTTCTCGAACACGTCACTCTGGTTATCTCCCTTTACAGGTTAACCCGATGCACCATTTCGTTTATTAAGTTTGTCATTTGCTCTGCTAAGCATCGTCTTTTTGCGACGCTATAACGAAATAAGTAAATTTAAGCGAAATAGATTTTTTTTCAGATAACAAAATCTGTCTTCTGTTGCGTACGAAATGTCGATTATCATCGTATTTTTCGTCCGGCGAAGGAAAGAACGACGTTTTGTACAATGACTTCGTGTTTTCGTAATTTTTCGTTACATGTTTTCGTTATTTCGTTATGTTACTAGTGGCAACTGCAGCAGTAAAAAGGTGCCTCGAATATTTCACAAAAAATGTTTTATGTGTTGTTAACATGACGTCACCGAATTCATCTGACCGTAAGCTTTAAGCCTGGCAGTAATTTTGATCTCTATTCCAAGATATCACCAGCGACGCGACTTAATCCTGACCGCCAGTTTGCCTGGTCTTACTATCAGCCTCGAATTCTACGAGATTTACTATGATATATGAAGCAATATTTGTTTTCAAAATCACTAGATAAATAAGAATTCGCATGCAAGATACCACTAATATTGCAAATGCGTGCCGTTATAATGAATGCTTCTGTGTAACCGAGCGCATGGCTAATGTAATACTGCGGTATCAGGAATGATCGGCAGTTTTACTGCGTCCGTCACTCTCACGCGCTTGGTAACTGTCTTATTAAAGACGATACGAAAAACGAAACCGTACATCATATCAAAGACGAAAAACTTTGCCTAGATTATTCATACGATCTTAAAATGACACGTCATACATCAAATGTAAATGGCAGAAGATTTTGGTAAATGCTAATTAGGATTCAAGCCGTGTATTCTGTAGGCATGTGGCCACTCCGCAAATACTGCATGCACATATATGCCGCGTACAACTGGAAATTAACACGGTCTACATAGTGTTTAAGAAGTATGTATGTAAAAACCTGAAATAAGCTCGTCGTGTAAACAGGTTATTCAGCATAGAATGAAAACATTCGATAAAAACACAATAAAATACCAACAAGTCAACAAAATCATAACTCAAATTCAATAAAACCAGGGTGTTATATAAACAAACGAAAGATTTACACGGAGGTTCTCGAACAAAGTACAAGAAGAATAAGTCCAGGTGCTCCGGAAGAGAAAGCGTCTACTATTTCATCGACGACACCAGCCATTTAAAAAAAAAACTTGGTCAATCCAAGTGAGTAATGTCACGTTCTGGAATGAGAACAATATATACAACAACGGAACACAAATCAACGCCAAAAGAAATCAAATACTTCTCAACAAGATTACTGTGACGACCGTTAAACTTCCCAATATTTTTCATCAGCTTGCATCTACTGGAACCCTGTGTTACGGGTTTGTCCGTCAGTTGACGACTTCTTGAACGAAAGTCCTAGAATATCGAAACATGTGTAAAAGTTTTTCCGTAAGTTAACGACTTCTTGCACGAAAGTCGTGATATGAGAAAAGGCCCTAGCATATCGAATCAACTGCGACATGTAAACACTATAGGTTGGGGATGCAAGAATTGCTATCCAGAAATGGAAAATTCACAATAGGGAAAGATTCTGTCGTTTCTTTGATTTCATACATTTATTATCTGGGATACGTTGTGTAAACACTAGGTTATAAAGGGTATGTTGTGTAAACACTGGCTATGTAAAGTGTATGTTGTGGAAACACTGGGTTCTATAAAGGGTATGTTGTGTAAACACTAGGTTATAAAGGGTATGTTGTGTAAACACTGGGTTCTATAAAGGGTATGTTGTGTAAACACTAGGTTATAAAGGGTATGTTGTGTAAACACTAGGTTATAAATGGTATGTTGTGTAAACAATGGGTGCTATAAAGGGTATTTTGCGTAAACACTAGGTTATAAAGGGTATGTTGTGTAAACACTGGGTTCCATAAAGTGTAAGTTGTGTAAACACTGGGTGATATAAAGTAGATGCTGTGGAAACACTGGGTTATAAAGTACATGTTGTGTAAACACTAGGTAGGTAAGGTATATGTTGTTGAAACACCAGGTTAACAAGTTTATGTTGTGTAAACACAGACTATAAAGGGATGCTTCTGTAAACATTGATTTCAAGGAAATGTTGTGTACACACTGAATATGATGCGTATGTTATGTAATCAATGGGTGTTTAGTAATTTTGATTTTTTTTATGTTAAGTTATGATAAATAAATCACATTTGATAAATCAACCACATCTAATTTTAAAAACCTGTTGACTAAATTGTTAATTTACAATGTAGCGTCACAAACACTTTGACACGAAATGATTCAACTTCAATAAAGTGTTGGGGTGTTTAGTAACTGTGTTGTTTGTTTCTATTCCCTACATTATCCTGTCAAACCTCACAGACTTAAAACTCCCATTCATCTCAGACAGACAAGTACGCTGTGAGTTGTTTGCGAGGGACAGATGGACGAGTATGTTATTCCTTATGTGCATCAGGGACAAGCGTGCTGAAGATTGTGTATATCAGACATTCCTGAAATAATCCTGTCTCTTTTTCTCTCCCTCTCTTACTGATTAGTCACTTTATATGAAAATAAATTCTTCTCTACTTGCGCCCGATTAGCTCCCTATCGCGCCATCAGGGCACTGTCTTGGTAAGAATGGTTATCGATCTGGAGGATAAACAAACAGATTCGCTATTTATTAGTCATACATCCTAGAAAAGATATTAGATTGCACATTTTTCTCGGGAGTCATTAACAAATTGTATTTGCCATGGTGCCAAGTTAAAAACCAACGAGTCTGTGTTTACAGTATTTAGGTTTCATCGTACAATTTTGATGTTTCATTTTTTTAATTAATTAATTTTAATTAATAGACAAGTTACACAGGTGTTGCTGTAGCGTAGCAAGTGCGCGTCATGAAAATCTGTTTTCATTCCAATAAACACAGATCGAGATAATCCTGAAAACTGCCCCTCCATTTCTAAGTTTTTTGGTTTTATTTAGGACAGACCATCTTATCTTTATACTGACTGAATTTTGCTAAAAATGCACGTTGCTCACCGCCCCAAGGCTTTTATTTCTGCAGAGATGTCAATTTTGAAAATGTCACGTTTGACTGTTCGAGAAATCTGAAGTTACCGACAAACATGTAGTCTACTTTAGACCGGGTCTTAACTCAATAATTTTCTACTTTTTACCTTGTGTTGCCGAGGTCGTTTGCTTCAGACCAGACGTTACCCACGTCTGCTGCCGACCAAGTCGTCCTACCCACACAGTCTGCTTCAGACCTTGTGTTACCGACGTCGATTGCTTCAGACCAGACGTTACCCACAACGTCTGCTGCCGACCAAGTCGTCCTACCCACACAGTCTGCTTCAGACCTTGTGTTGCCGAGGTCGTTTGCTTCAGATGTCTTATCCACACAATTTTCTTTAGTTACTGTGTGTGCACAGCCTGCTTCAGACCTTATGGTGTAGTATGCACAAATCTCGTTGATACTATTATTACAGATCAAAGACTGCGCGTGCAGACGGGCACAGAGATATCCATGCTGTCTTTTTGGTCCCAAACGATGTTAAAATTGTCTCTGTTACACTAACCGTGATTTGTCCTACCCACACAGTCTGCTTCAGACCTTGTGTTACCGACGTCATTTGCTTCACACCAGACGTTACCCACAACGTCTGCTGCCGACTAAGATGTCTTATCCACACAATTTTCTTTAGACCTTGCTGTGTGTGCACAGCCTGCTTCAGACCTTATGGAGTAGTATGCACAAATCTCGTTGATACTATTATTACAGATCAAAGACTGCGCGTGCAGACGGGCACAGAGATATCCATGCTGTCTTTTTGGTCCCAAACGATGTTAAAATTGTCTCTGTTACACTAACCGTGACATGTACCTCCGGTGTACGCTACCGCTTTGTACAAATTAGGATCTAATTTTGTCTTATCTTTCTCGATCGTGACGCTGAAGTTACTATTTTGTGCTCAAACAAAGTGTTCAATCGCCTTTCGATGTGTATTTCATCTCCATTAGCTTGTCACGTGACCTTGTACGAGCAGACTAACTCGCCCAGTACGGCCGTTAACTCGATACCAGTCTGCGCCTTACAACTATATATTATCTGACACTGCTTACACAATCTCTGGCAATGTAGATAGAGTCACACAACCAGTAATAGACAAAGCGTCACAGTACCAGTATTAGATATAGCGTCACACTACCAGTATTAGATATAGCGTCACACTACCAGTAATATACAAAGCGTCACAGTACCAGTAACAGAAAAAGCGTCACACTACCTGTATCAGATATAGCGTCACACTACCAGTAATAGACAAAGCGTTACAGTACCAGTAACAGACAAAGCGTTACACTACCTGTATTAGATAGTGTCATACTACCTGTATTAGATATAGTGTCACAGTACCAGTAACTGACAAAGCGTCACATTACCAGTATTAGATAAAGCATCACATTACCTGTATTAGATATAGTGTCACAGTACCAGTAACAGACAAAGCGTTACACTACCTGTATTAGATAAAGTGTCATACTACCTGTATTAGATATAGCGTCACACTACCAGTATTAGATAAAGCGTCACACTACCAGTATTAGATATAGCGTCACACTACCAGTATCCGATATAGTGTCACACTACCAGTATTAGATATAGCGTCACACTACCAGTATCCGATATAGCGTCACACTACCAGTATTAGATATAGCGTCACACTACCAGTATCCGATATAGCGTCACACTATCAGTATTAGATACAGAGTCACACTACCAGTATTAGATATAGCGTCACACTACCAATATTAGATAAAGCGTCACACTACCAGTATTAGATATAGCGTCACACTACCAGGATCCGATATAGCGTCACACTACCAGTATTAGATACAGTGTCACACTACAAGTATTAGATATAGCATCACACTACCAGTAATAGACAGAGCGTCACACTACCAGTATTAGATATAGCGTCACACTACCATTATTAGATATAGCGTCACACTACCATTATTAGATATAGCGTCACGCCACCAGTATTAGATATATCGTCACACTACCAGTATTAGATATAGCGTCACACTACCAGTATTAGACATGGCGTAACATTACCAGTATTAGATATAGCATCACACTACCAGTATTAGATATAGCATCACACTACCAGTAATAGACAGAGCGTCACACTACCGGTATTAGATATATCGTCACACTACCAGTATTAGATATAGCATCACACTACCAGTATTAGATATAGCGTCACACTACCAGTATTAGATATAGCGTCACACTACCAGTATCCGATATAGTGTCACACTACCAGTATTAGATATAGCGTCACACTACCAGTATTAGATATAGCGTCACACTACCAGTATTAGATATAGCGTCACACTACCAGTATTAGATATAGCGTCACACTACCAGTATTAGATATAGCGTCACACTACCAGTATTAGATACAGCGTCACACTAGCAGTATTAAATACAGCGTCACACTACCAGTATTAGATGCAGCGTCACACTACAAGTATTAGATATAGTTAGACACTGCCAGCAATGAACAACATACATGCATCACCATATACAAATTGTATATAATATATGATATCGTGATTCAAATATATAGCTGAAAAACCACCATGGCAGGACTATAAGATACAGTTGAGTTCTTTATCAGATTCATTATTCGGACGGATTTTTCGTGAAGAAAAAATCTTGACACATGAATGATGAGAAGGAACGTTAACATCATTCTGTGGAACTCCATGCCTTGCTTGTACTTGCTGAACATTCTATTGGAGGAGGGGAGAGGTTTCGTCAACACCAGTTTCCGATTAATGGTACATTCTGTGTCCTATCCATCAACAAATCACTCAATTAAACTAATTTGGTATTAATTTATATCAGGCCGATTCATTAGGACGTGTGTACACACAATTACGCTAGATGTCGCTACTAGCATTGATTAACTTGTAAAGGCAGGGGACATGAATGCTCAGCCAGATGATTTTGACAGATTGGCATGGGGAATACAATGCGCTTTTCGTGACTATTTTAGGGTTTTAATTACACAGAGTTAACTTGAAGCTGACTATAATTGACAGGTGAACTGTCTTATTTTCATTTGATATTTATAAACCAGGACATGAAAAGACTTGATATCAGGCTACTCAATCACATGTATACACTATATTAGGTGTAATTATTACTAACTGTAAATATCATAAGTTGTAAATTTCAGGACGACTACCTCAAATGTAAATATCATTACATGTAAATGTCAAGTTAACTACATCAGATACAAATATCATTAGATGTCAATGTCAAGTAGACTACATCAGATACAAATATCATTAGATGTCAATGTCAAGTAGACTACATCAGATACAAATATCATTAGATGTCAATGTCAAGTAGACTACATCAGATACAAATATCATTAGATGTCAATGTCAAGTAGACTACATCAGATACAAATATCATTAGATGTCAATGTCAAGTAGACTACATCAGATACAAAAATCATTAGATGTCAATGTCAAGTTAACTACATCAGATACAAAAATCATTAGATGTCAATGTCAAGTAGACTACATCAGATACAAATATCATTAGATGTCAATGTCAAGTAGACTACATCAGATACAAATATCATTAGATGTCAATGTCAAGTAGACTACATCAGATACAAATATCATTAGATGTCAATGTCAAGTAGACTACATCAGATACAAATATCATTAGATGTCAATGTCAAGTAGACTACATCAGATACAAATATCATTAGATGTCAATGTCAAGTAGACTACATCAGATACAAATATCATTAGATGTCAATGTCAAGTAGACTACATCAGATACAAATATCATTAGATGTCAATGTCAAGTAGACTACATCAGATACAAATATCATTAGATGTCAATGTCAAGTAGACTACATCAGATACAAATATCATTAGATGTCAATGTCAAGTAGACTACATCAGATACAAATATCATTAGATGTCAATGTCAAGTAGACTACATCAGATACAAATATCATTAGATGTCAATGTCAAGTAGACTACATCAAATACAAATATCATTAGATGTCAATGTCAAGTAGACTACATCAGATACAAATATCATTAGATGTCAATGTCAAGTAGACTACATCAGATACAAATATCATTAGATGTCAATGTCAAGTAGACTACATCAGATAATGTCAAGTAGACTACATCAGATACAAAAATCATTAGATGTAAATGTCAAGTAGACTACATCAGATACAAAAATCATTAGATGTAAATGTCAAGTAGACTACATCAGATACAAAAATCATTAGATGTCAATGTCAAGTAGACTACATCAGATACAACAATCGTTAGATGTAAATGCCAAGTAGACTACATCAGATACAAATATCATTAGATGTAAATGTCAAGTAGACTACATCAGATACAAATATCATTAGATTAAATGTCGTTAAATGTTACTATCACAGACATACTAAACCGTAAATAACATTAGATGGAAATTTACAGAATACATTAGATATTAAATGTACATATTATTTTCACCACCTAAGATGCAAATGTCATGAACTACATTAAATGTAAAGATCACAGACTGCACTAGATGCAACTACATGTAAATAGTATAGACTACATGTAAATAGTATAGATTACATGTAAATACCTTAGACAACATGTAAATAGTATAGACTACATGTAAATAGTATAGACTACATGTAAATACCTTAGACTACATGTAAATAGTATAGACTACATGTAAATAGTATAGACTACATGTAAATAGTATAGATAGACTACATGTAAATAGTATAGACAACATGTAAATACCTTAGACTACATGTAAATAGTAGAGACTACAAGTAAATAGTATAGACTACATGTAAATAGTATAGACTACATGTAAATAATACAGACTACGTGTAAATACCCTAGACTACATGTAAATAGTATAGACTACATGTAAATAGTATAGACTACATGTAAATAGTATAGACAACATGTAAATACCTTAGACTACATGTAAATAGTATAGACTACATGTAAATAGTATAGATTACATGTAAATACCTTAGACTACATGTAAATACCTTAGATTACATGTAAATAGTATAGACTACATGTAAATATGTATAGACTACATGTAAATAGTATAGACTACATGTAAATAGTATAGACTACATGTAAATAGTATAGATTACATGTAAATACCTTAGACTACATGTAAATAGTATAGACTACATGTAAATAGTACATGTAAATAGATAGACAACATGTAAATACCTTAGACTACATGTAAATAGTATAGACTACATGTAAATAGTATAGATTACATGTAAATACC